GAACCCCAGACTCAAACGTCTCCCACTGGACCTCCTCCACAGAGCGTTTATTAACAGAACATTACACATGGTTACAAACAGAGTATTGTTCTGACAGAACAATTGATCAGTTCATGAAGACAGAATGCTGCACTAGAATGACAAGGCAGGATGGTCTCCTGACTGAATCATGAGACAGGAGTGGAGCATCCCCTTGTAAAAATGTTTCATAAGCACACATTAATTTTATAATCATCACTGAATAAACCCAACAGTAGCCACGTTTGCTCAGCCATGTCTTTTTTTCCAAATACATTGTTGCCTTTTCTTTTTAGGGTTTTCAGCACAAAACTGCACAAATTGCCAAGACAGCGTGGTTCACTATAGTGAGCTCAATATCCCCCTTCTATTTGTTTGGCTTCTGGATAGAGGAGTCAGAGCAGCTCCATCTCACTGCGGAGCTGAGTCTGACGTGGGTTTTTTTAGTCGTACAGTGTGAGCAGGAAGATCCCATGAGCGTCGGGCCGAACATTAATCGTGAGCTGCGAACTCAGACTGTACGACTAAACCTGGTGGTTAAACGTACAGTCTGAGCAGCAGCTGCGTGCAACGATTGAAAAAATATCGCAGTGTACGCCCGGCTTTACAGTGTCAAACACATTAACCCAATCACCCTGGGTACCATTTCACAAAGCAGGTTTACTGAAAACTAAGATTTTTTTAACCTGAAATCAAAGAAATTGAATTTCCCATTTCATGATAGGAGATTATTCAGCCTCTGTTTCGGCTTCAGCAGTAAGACTCTCCCCAGAGCCAAACTGGTCAGGAGCAGGTTTTGTTCAATAAACTCAGCGTCCTGGGTCTCTGCCCTGCATAAACCAACACTGTTGTTTTACTTCCTGATTTACTCAGGATATTTCTATCACAATTTTGTGTGAACCTTAAAAGGAAATCATTAACTAGGTTTGTTAGAGACATGAGGTTTGAAAAACACAAACACAGCATGTCCTTTAGATGAGGATCTAATTAAAGAATTTGTTGCATTGGCAGAGAATAATAATTTAATAAGGAAAGAATTCTTAGACCATGGCCCTGTTTGAATTCACTGGCTGTGTCCTCAGAAGGCCAGATTCGAAGGACGATTACGTCATAGCTTAGCGCCGAGGTCTGGTCGGATTCCAAGAGTCCTTGTTATGCAGCCTTAAAATGCGTCCTTTTTGCCTGATTTGAAGGACGGGTCCGATGTATCCTCGGTATCCTTGATTTTCCCAGGATTCATTGCGAGACCAAGCAAGCCGGCTGCTAAGGTGATCAGAAGACAGGTTACTTGGTGCCGAACAGTGTTGAATATTGGAAGTTCAGTTTAATATAATACAAGTCTGTGAATAGTTCTGCCTGAAATGAATAAAAACATTTTTATATATTAGAATATGTCCTTAAATTACAGCCAAACCCATTTACACAGTAACAGATAAAAACTTTTAGATAAACCAAACATTACCGCCACATAGCTGACTCAATAACCATTAAAAAAAAAACTTTTTTTTTAGTAATTTCAGACAGAACTATTCACATACTTTGATTATATTAAACTGAACTTCCAATATTCACCACTGTTCGGTGCCAAGAAACTTTTCCTCTGATCATGGAGCAGCTGGTCTGCTTGGTCTCGCAATGAATCCTGGGAAAACCAAGGATAGTGAGGATCCATCATTCAAATCGGGGTAAAAAAAGGACGCATTTTAAGGCCACATAATGAGGAGTCTTGGAATCCGACCAGACCTCGGCCCCGCGCTATGATGTAATCGTCCTTCGAATCTGGCCTTCTGAGGACGCAGCCCATGAATTCTAACAGAGCTTAATTTTTTACTTTCTGAAATTCAGTATCCATCTAAAAAAAGAAGGTTTTTCAGGAGATAGATTGGCCAAAAAAGGTACTTCAAGGATTTTCGACAATTTTTGAAAAGAACTCTCTTGGCCCTCTCCTGTCTTAAAAAAATGCACATGAACATCCCTGTACCCACTCCTGAGGGGGAACGCCTATTAAACACTTGCAAGAGCGTGCACAAGCCCATTTCTCCTCAGCCTCTCATCATTTTGACATTCCTAGTCAGAAATAATCTTATTTTAGTGATCTACAATGGAACAACAGAGGAGTGTGCTCATAATATTAAAAAAGCCTGCCATAGGGAACTTCATATGAACCTACACACCAACTTGAGCAGCAATCTTCTACATCATCTTAACCTCCTTTGCAGCTTTGGCTCTGTTCTTTTAATCACATTTTTTTTTTTTTTCTGCATAAAAATCTCTAGTTCCAGTGATTGAAATTCGCACGTCCCGTTGCCATGGTGACTCATTGAATCAAGGCTCCACGAATAAAGGCTTTTTCTACTTGTTATGCACATGTTCATCTCTGAGCGGACATACTTGGAGTTGATTAAACTCAGTCACAGCAGTTAAGAGTTTCCAACCTCAGCCTTGATCAATTTAGAATAGAACTTGTCATGAACAGTGTAAATCTATGGGTCTTTAGCAGGACGATCAAAATAAGTTCTTCACATTTATCCATCCAAACAAAATTCACTTTCTGAAACAAGTCACAATATTCAACTTCATACATTTTTTTTAACTCTTGATTCCAACCATAGCTTAACCTATATTCTACAAATGGGTCCACTCCATGTGATTATGAATATTCAAATGTCATAATACCTATCCCAGACATAAAACCCCAATTCTTTTGTTTATTGGCTTGTTGAACAGATGAACTAAAGTATAGCAGCAATAAAAGGAATTTCATTTCTTTGAATACAATAATAAATAAAAAAAAGTCAAACTCAGGATGGGACAAACTGTCTTGAAATTTAATGTTTTTTTTCACACAACCTGAAACAGTCTTATTTCCTAGATTACTCTGTTGATCTTGTTCATAGAAAGTTTTCTTGCTACCACATTTTACTATATAAATATGTTAGGGAATTTTCAAATTCAGGCTCCAAACGGAAAAAAGTAATTAAAGTGAGATTAAATGCAATATCATAAAGTGTGGACTGGAATGACTAGGAAGGCAGAGCATCAATACTTAAACCAACTTTTATCCACTCAGATAACTACAATAAAATGACAGCCAAACCTTTCCTCAAAAACTTCTTAATCGCTGTAATTACTAAAAGCTTTGTGGCACTGAGGTGATTGGTGAACATGTCTTTGGCTTTAATCTTTTCCAACCTGGGCTCTCTTATTCATGAGAAAAGCCAAATGTTGCATAACCCAGTCAGGCACAACCTCAGCCCAGCGACCGTCTGCCAAAGGACTGCCTTTAGAGTCCTTAAAGGACGCGGTGGCCGTTATCATAGCAGAGTGCCTGGGATTCTTTTCATGAATTTCCTCTGATCTATCAGCAAGATGGCTAAAAATAGGATATGTAGTTCTGGTACCAGAATCTTCATTTAAATTCCCTTCACCCGTTAATAGGCTCAGAGGATGCTCTTGGTCTGTGGATCCAGTAAGATCTGACTCCCCATCATTGCAAACCACGTTTTCGAGCCATTGTGGATAAGCTTTCCCTGTCTGCAGCCCTCCGAGCTGTGGGTTGGTATCTTCACCCAGTCCTGCTCTGCCAACAGAGTGTCTTGCTTGAACTGGTGTTTGGATGTTTTCTGCTATATTAACACACATTACCCGTTTTGGTCCCAAGAACAAATCAGATGTACCATTCTCTGACGCACTAGAACTATTACCATTAAGGAGGGTGGGCCCTTCAGTACCAACGGCACTATACAAAGTGCCTTGTCCCCCATTATAACTACCCTTTTCTTCCAGAGACTCACTATGAACAGCCTCACAACCAGCACTGTCACTGTGAGGACAAAGTGTATTGTTGGAATTTACACCATTAGAAAGATCTTCAGAAGAACCCTGAGCGCTCTGGTTAAACTTGATACCAAAACTGTCATTTTTTCTAGTATCAGAACCATAAGTTGAAACTTTTGAGCTTTTATGGGATAAACTAGTAACAACACTTCTTAAAACTGGCCCCTCTTCTCCAACCTGACTGGATTCATTTTTTGGGGTAGCTTCATCAGACATGGTTAGCAGCTCACTGCCTTCATTTCTCATGATTGTGACTTTTTCATCAGTTTGCTCCTCTTTTGCTTTTGCCGACACTTCCTCCAGCTTCCATTCTTCTCTGCCAACAGACTCTTGGTCTTTCAGATCACTTCCATTCTGTGGAAAAGTCAGGCCATCCTTTTGATCCCCACCCAGGTTCAAATTCTGATCCACATATTCTTGTTCCTCTTCAGCTTTGAAAGATCTCAGTCTTGCCGTCATCTTCTCCTGGTTTGGTTCAACATGCCAACCTGAACTTCGGACATGGCTCTTCACAGCTGTCAGAAAGAGTCAAGTCAAATATTTACAGACATCGAGCAGATATCCAATTTATTCTCATGCAAAAAAAAAAAAAAACATCTCAATTCTTCAACAAAAGCAGTTCCTTTTATGTTTTAGATGTCTCTCCAATCCAGCATGCCAAACCTCAAGCTTAGTAAAACTGTTATGGTGAAGAGCAATCCTTGCATTCTGCTGTGCTTAAAGGCCTGAACACACCTAATCCGATTTTGCATCTGATCTGACAGAAACTTGTGTCGGACGAGGTTGTGGCGTTTATTGCTCAGTAAAAGTCAACGTAAGAATATCTGATAAACTTCACAGAAGTCTCTCTGAGAATTGTCTCAATTGTCTTAAAAAAAAAGAAAGGTATTTGAACATTTATATCTGTTCTGGTTAGTCATCTGGGGCTTTGCTTTATAGAATGTGCTAGTGTTTTTTATTTATTTATTTTTTAATAACTTCATAATCTGTCCAAGTCAAATGTGGGAAGTCGTTTTAATTTGTCAAGCACAGAGACAAAAGTGAAAAAAATCTCAGCAGATGTGCTCATCCTGTCTTGTCGGAGCCTCTCTGGGCCGGATCTCCCAATCTCGTTTTTTCAGAAGTGCTGTCCGACGGGGTCGGGGTTCTCCCCCTGCGCCTGTGGAGCAACGTGCCAAATGCTGCGGGGATCTCATCCACAGTCACAGGCCAATACAAAACACCTGTTTTTTTTTTTTTTTTTACTGCAGCACATACCACCTTAGGGAATAAAGGTTGCCAATTTATAAATATATATATATATATATATATAAATATATATATATAAATATATATATATTTATATATATATATATATAAATATATATATATATATATATATATATATATATATATATATATATATATATATATATATATATATATATATATATATATATATATATATATATATATATATATATATTTACTTATTTATTTTTTTTGTTGGGGGTCACTGTAAGATTTAAATTTCTTAATGCACTAGTTTGTACAGACTACAAACTACTTTGCCGCAAACCACAAAACGCGCAAAACCATCATTTAAATAGGGCGTCTCCAACAGTTTTGCACCTTCCACCAGTTACGCAATCACTCTTGTTAAATCACCCGCAAACCATGGTTCAGCCCCTCGCGCAAAATTCCAGTTTGCGAGCGCAAATTACTGCACGCAAAATTGGATCTTGATAAATCCGGCCCTCTGTACGCAGTCAGTGTGACATGGACAAAAATTGGATCAGATAAAAAAAAAAAGGCCTTGAGGAGAGATGCATCTAAGAAATGCAAGACAGTTTGCCTTGTTAAATTATTAATATTAAATGCTAGAAATCGTATAAATGCTAGATGCAGGATTTACATAAAATTAACTTACACATGTCTGTGTCCGTGCACACAGAATCACAGCAGGAACACAATGAGGATGAAGCCGTCACTTCTTCCCACCTACATAACAAACGCAGAAGCACTCCTGTTCATTAGTAAATGTTATATATTTTACACATCATTAAAAGAGGCAATAGTAGATTATTTCAAAGAAATACTTCCTCAAAATGACGGTAATATCTAACAATATACAGAGCCACATTTTCTCAGCTTAGCACTAAAGCCTGCTTAGATAAACCAGTCTGAGGGTCACTTTAACCTAGCTATTAAACCACGGTCATCATTTGAAATAAAAGCAATGACCCAGACACATATTTTTATTTAAAAAAATTAAAGAGGTTCTCAACATTAGGTTGTTGGTTTAAATATGGATAAGAGCTTCATTGATTTTATGTGCAAGACTTTACCAATTAGTGAGAGGATGTCTTATAAGTCACTGACCTGCCAGCATCCTTGTTGAAGTTGCAGGACTTTGCGATGTTTGAAGGGGTCAGACCAACAGACACTGTGCAGTGGAGGTACTGAATCTACAAACAGTGTAACTGGATAAAGTTAACCATCTCAGGTGGATGGAAAGCATCCTACGATTCTCTAAAGTGGTTACAATTCAACCAGATCATACAGTCAGATTGATTCAAGTTGTTTTGCATCAAATCATTTACTCAAAGGCATCCCTCACACTGCTGAACTGAAATCTCTGCTTGTAATTTTAAGCTTTAAAATCCATCCATCCATCTTCCATCACGCTTGTCCCAAGAGGGGTGGCAAGGGGTGCTGGTGCCTCCAGCTGTCTACGGGTAAGAGGCGGGGTCCACCCTAGACAGGTCACCAGTCCATTGCACGGCAACACCGAGAGAAACAACCATTCACGCACACACCTAAGGAGAATTTAGAGAACCTAACAGTCATGTTTTTGGACTGTGCGAGCAAGCCGGAGTACCTGGAGAGAACCGACGCATGCTCAGGGAGAACATGCTAACTTAAAATAGTAAAAAAAAAATGTATACACTATGGGCCGGATCTATCAAAGGTTTGCGTGTATAAAAACGTGAGCTATTTCACTGCGCACGCTAAAAAATGTACAAACTGATCTATCAACAGCGTGCTAAAAGGATTTGATCTTTAAAACGCGCTAAATAGCGCCTCTTATCCATTTAGTACTTTTTCTGCAATGAATATGCAATATGGGGCGTTTACACGCAAAAGTGCGTCTTGTGGGAGGAGAACATGTAAATATATTAATTTAGCACTCGCAAAGTGATTTATCAAACCTGAAAGCAATTTTGCTAACGGTATCTGACTCTATATTTAACACGTTTCAAAAGAAGGTGCAAATGGTCTGTATGCGTAATTGCGCACACATGGCAGCGGTTATTGTCGCAAGAAGGAGACATGGAAATGAAGCAAGGAGACGCAGAGAACGCATTTTTTTCACTCCGTGTGAATATTTTTGGAATGAAGGAGGAAACGATCATCAAAACATATCGTTTATCCAGCATTGCCATTTTGGAGCTGTTGGGGGAACTCCGAATGGATTTGGAGCCAGCCACAAGGAGGACCCACGCAATACCAGATATCACAAAACTCCTTGCAACATTGCACTTTTTTGCATCTGGGTCATTCCAGCGTACGGTTGCAGCGAGAGCTGGGATCTCCCAATCTCGTTTTTCAGAAGTGCTGTCCGACGTTCTAAATGCCATGTCGCCCTGACGCCCTACCGGAGAACCCCGACCTCTGCGCCTGTGGAGCAACATGCCAATGCTGCGGGGATGCGTACGCGCAGTCATCTCATCCACAGTCACTTCTTGGGAGCCATTTGGGATGTGCATTTTTCTACAGGCCAATACAAAACACCTGTTTTTTTTGTTTGTTTTTTTTTACTGCAGTGAAGTAGAAATTCAGCCACATACCACCTTAGGGAATAAAGGTTGCCAAAGTTTTTATATATATATATATATATATATATATATATATATATATATATATATATTTATTTTTTTATTTTTTTTTTTTTTTGGGAGGGGGTGTCACTGTAAGATTAAAATTTCTTAATGCACTAACTACAAACTACAAACTACTTTGCCGCAAACCACAAAACGCGCAGAACCATCATTTAAATAGGGCGTCTCTAACAGTTTTGCACCTGCCACCAGTTACGCAATCACTCTTGTTAAATCACCCGCAAACCATGGTTCAGCCCCTCACACAAAATTCCAGTTTGCGAGCGCAAATTGCTGCATGCAAATTGGATCTTGATAAATCCGGCCCTTAGGCTTCAAACTGTGGTTTTACAAGGGGTTTCATATTCACATATATATAAAATGGAATGTTAAGACCTACTTTAAAGGCAACTGATAAATGCCTGATTAAGGTGGAAGGCATTTGCAGGAAGGCCTTTTGCATGGTAGTGAAGCCTTTGGGTCAGGTTCAAGCTTTGTTATACGTCAGGTGTGAAACTTTTCGAACATGCAAACCCCGTAGTGCCTGGGGATGCTTCAAACCCCATAAACATTGCTGGCTACCTCTTCCTTCAGTGTATAAAAGTTATTGTGGAACTTACTTGTGAGACTCCTCGGAACAGAAAGGCATCCACTGAGAACTTCACCACACTGCCCCCTCCTGACAGGAACTGAGAATTGCTGTCTTCTCTCCTGCTGTCGGTCATGCAGCTGGAATCAAAAACTAAATCAAAATATAGGAAATGGATGACAAAACACCATCGCATGTTTTTATACTTTCATTTTTAATTACCCATAATTAGTAATGATATCCACTTTAGGTGAGCTGCTCGAGTGTTCTGAACTTGTAGCTTGGCATGAATCCACATAAAGCCTCTCGCCAGATAACAGAGTTCCTGTCTGAGCCAAAAGATAGACCTGCTCCCCTAAATAGAAGGTGTGACCTGGGGACAGAGCTTCCCACTGGGCTGGTACAGATAGAAAGAAGAATTTTACAATTACAAGTACACGTTAGATCCTTAAAAACACAAAGCAAAAGGTATAATGTCTTAAACTAAAATCAGGTCAATGCTTCAAAAAGGAAGTGTAACTGTGCCTAAAGGTTTCTGTCAGTGAAATGCACTTACTGGTGCCAGACTTGTTTTAAATTTTTAAAACTCTTCAACTAATCTAAAATATTAAGAAAAATTAGAACTTAAAAAAAGTTATAAAACACAAAAACAAAGAAGATCAGGAGATACTCACCGTTACAGACAGTGAGGCTAAACGTTAGTTTGCTTCTGATACTCTTCAGAAAGGTTGTGTGCTGAACTTGTGGCCTAAAACCAACTTTGTAAGAATAATGAAACCTGAAACAGATTGTCATATGAAAAGAGGGCAAATAGGGAAATCCATGCAGAGAAATAATAGCTATTCAAAAGTAGCTTCTATTAGCAAATCATACAACATCCTTTGAAACATTACATTACTGTAAATCATAACACACTTAAACCCAGCCCTAGTAGATGGGATGTTTAATGTATTATAATTTGTTTTATCACGACAAACATAGTTTGGTACTATAGAAATAAAAGCAACTAATGTTTGATGCAAATTTATACTTTATTGAAAAGGTTTGTCAGATAAAGTTGGTTTAGAATCCAACCGAATATCTGGTCCACTGCTTCCTACAGTGAGTTTTAAAATGAAGACTCTGAAAACTGCTCTTGTCCCATTAGTCTCCTCTTGATAGACTTTGTTTACTCTTGACATTAAGCTACAGGACCTACACTTATATACATTTAGTCATCAGGAGTCAAATGTATTTTTTGTTATTCCACAAGAACTTGGTGAAGTTTGATCCATGCACGATCATTCTTGCTGGGGCACACAGTGTCAATTAAATTAAATTAATTTTATTTATGTAGCAGCAATTCACAACACACCATTCCAAGACACTTTACAGACAATTAAATCAAGTTATTGGCTCATATTAAGATTGGTTAAAATGTTTTTAATCAAAGGAAGCCAATAAATCAGGGTCTGGCATTACTTTTATATTAATGGGTATTTTTTATATCTGGCTATAAAGCAGATTATTCTTGGTTTAAACAGCTATGGTCATTTCTGCTTCTGCCTCTCTGCTCTGCCTGCACAGACCTAACTCTCCATCGCTGCCCTTTACTTTTACCTTCTTTTCTCTTAGCCAAACTGACAGATGTTTGGCAGAACTTAATTTTTCCAGGATTCTCTAGCTGGACTACTTTTAAGTGTACATTTGTATCTTATTTTGATCACACTGCAGAGAAGGAACAGTCCTTGTCAGAGCAGAACGCCTCCCTTGACCACAAGGAATTTTGACAAGCTTCTACAAAATATGGCCTCCTTGGAAACCAAGATTAACCCGACCGGAAGTGCACACCGAAGTAAATGCTGGTTATTGAAATGATACAGTCCTGCCAGTGCCAACTTTACTGGTGTAAAGCCGCTTGCTTCTGTGCTCATGGCTGTGATTGGTCTGCTAGCTTAAACCCGCCCCTCTATACGTGCGCATTCAAAGATTCATGGTCAGTAAAAGCTGGATTAAATTAGTGTATCCAGACCAACGCTACACCTGAATCTGTCACTGGCTTTATATCACAATGTCACCAGGTGACTATGAACCCATCAGAGCGTTGGTTAGAACAGCTCAATACATGGATGTGTCACCATTTTCTCCAACTAAATAAAAACAACACTGAGGTAATCATTTTCTGACCATCAGAGGAAAGATCCAGAGTTAGCTCACATCTTAGGCTGCTGGAGCTAGAAACCACTCATCATGGAGGAAATCTTGGTGTCATGATGGACTCAAGACATCATGGTGGGGGCGCTTTAAGGGTGGGGACTGATGGAACTACAGTTATTCGAATAGGATTTTTGTATTTTCCAAAAATTAGCTCTTTCCTGAGGTTTCATCCGAAGAGGTGAAGAACATCATCAGGAAGATGAAATCCTCCAGCTGTCCCCTGGACCCTCTCCCAACATCCCTAGTAAAATCCCACATTACTGTCCTAATGATCACTGCGGTTATAATTAATTCCCTTCAATCTGGTCATGTTCCCCTGTCTTAAAAAATGCCATTACCACACCATTGCTTAAAAAACCCACTCTTGATCCGGTAGTATTATCCAAACATAACTTCTTTGAAAAACTCCAGTCAAGTTTCCGTTTCGCCCACAGTACAGATACAGCCCTAGTCAGAGTCACAAACGACCTCCTCATGTTGTCCGATGCTGGCTCTTCATCCCTGCTTATCCTCCTCGACCTCTCTAATGCGTTTGATACTGTTGACCATGGCATTCTCTTAAACCAGCTCCACCTCACCGCTGGATTAATTGACACTGCTCTCAGTTGGTTCAGATCATATCTCAACAACCGGACAGAATCCATCTCCCTCGGCCGCTCCAAATCAAATCCACACACAGTTACGTGTGGTGTCCCCCAGGGGTCAGTCCTCAGCCCCATCCTCTTCATCCTTTACCTTACCCCCCTTGGCCAAATCATCAGCCGCCACAATATCTCATTCCACCGCTATGCTGATGACATACAGCTCTATGTAAATGTCACAGCTGACCCCCTATCCTCACAGTCATCACCATCAAAACTCACAACCTGTCTGGAGGAGATAAAGGTATGGATGGAGCAAAACTTTCTTCAACTTAATAGCTCCAAAACTGAAGCCAACCAGGTTGGAACTCCTCATCAAATCAAATCATCATCCATAACCAGCATCACTTTCTCTGGTAGTAACATCTCGCTCTCGTCAACAGTAATCTTGGTTTAAGAAATGGACTCAAAACTCACTTTTGAAGCCCACATAAATCATTTATGCAAAACCTTTTTCTACCACCTCCGAAACATTTCCAAACTCCATCCCATTCTCTCCCTCCCGAGTGGAGAAAAGCTGCTTCATGCCTTTGTCTCCTCCAGACTTGACTATTGCAACACACTTCTCATTGGGAACCCTAGAAAGAGTCTGCAGAGGCTTCAGTGCTTTCAAAACTCTGCAGGTAGGATCCTGATGAGAGTGCGGAAACATGAGCACATTACCCCCCATTCTCCATTCACTATACTGGCTTCCCATCTCCACCAGGATTGAATACAAGGTTTCCCTCCTCACACATCAATGCATCCAAGGACATGCCCCCCCCCTACCTTAAAGAACTTATCAACCCAAAGAACACAACCCGCTCCCTTCGCTCAAACTTGCTCCACATTCCCAGAACCAGAACCAGGACAATGGGAGATGGAGCATTTTGTGCTGCTGTCCCACATCTGTGGAATTCCCTCCCTGATGCCCTGAGGGTTCCTCTATCCACAGAGTGTTTTAAAAAAGGCCTTAAAACATTTCTTTTTAGCCAAACTTTTGGTCCCCTTTAAATGTTTTTTTTTCCCTTCTATCTTTTAAAACAGCTTTTATTATTATCATAATTTTTTGGTAATTTAATTTTGTTACGCATTTGTTTTTTAATGCTTTTCTTTTTTGTAGTACTTTAAGGTCTTTTTGATAAAAAGTGCAGTATAACTCAAGTGTATTATTATTATTATTATGATTATTATTATATAGGACCTAAAAAACCTTAACGTATAAAAAAAATAATGAACAGCCGATTCTGAGGCCAAAATCGATACATCATGCATCACTAGAAGTACAATTTCTATTCCATCCATCCAGAAAAATATGGATATGCTGCATTTTAAATATAGCATAGAATATATTTTTCTTGTAAACTTTCTGGGAAACTTGGAGATATATTTTATTGCATGTTGCATATCCCAGCAAATCTGTTTCACATTTAAATCTGCAGCTCTCCCTACTTCTCTGTTTAAAAAGATTCATGAACCTCTTTACTGATATAATGATGCGAGAAACAACATTTTAAGATCTGTAGAAGCTCTGCAGTCTGATTCTGTCAATACAATAAGAAAACATGTACATTTTAACCTGTAACTGGGAGTCATGGTCGTCTGAGAAGCCAAGCTTTTTTAACTAATAAAGAACACAACATGCTGCCCTGATTCTCTCCTCCACGCAGCTACTCTATATGCAGTGGAATGCGACCTCAAATTAGGTGTCTCAAAGTGACCTGATGATGTCACACCGAGCAGTGGGACATGGGAGCAGCGCGAGAAAAAACACTGACTCAAAATGCTCTGAACATAGTTGCATAGCTGCACCCAACCTCTGTTACCTTTGACTAAAGTAAATGATTGGAAAAGTTGAAAAAAACCCAGAGATTATTGGTGGGGACCGTCCCCACCACACCTTCAGAAGTTACGCCTGTGCTGCAGAAGCTCATAAAGCCATTTCGTAGTCAGCTTTTTATTAGCTGCAGAACATCTCCAGGATAAAATTAAATTAAACTAAATTAGATTAAAGGACAAATGTCCAGCAGGATCTAGAAAAACTCCTTCATGCATTTATCTTTAGTAGAATTGATCACTGCAGCAGTCTCTCCATAGGTTTGCCTAAAAAGACCATCAGACAGCTGCAGCCGATCCAAAATGCTGACACCCGTGTCCTCACTAGAACTAAGAAAGTAGAGCACATCAGCCCAGTTCCGCAGTCCTTCCACTGGCTCTCTGTCGCTCAGAGAATTCACTATGGATGAATCAACCAGATGAATTAATTATTGAATTAATCTTCCACTAATTTAGTAATCGATTGTTAGCTGGAATGTAGAAACTCTAAAACGTGCCTTTAGCTGAAAGAGAGACTCACCTTGAGCAGCAATTATACCAAAATTGTAAACTTTTGCATTTGAGATAAAAATCTTTTCTGTCTGCCAATCTGCTCTATTCAAAACTCTCACATGTAAAAGTTTTAGTTTCACCTGATTTAATGTTACAAAAAATCTTCTTTAAGGAACCTTTTGCTATTTATCAATTAATTTAAAAAAGTTATCTACAGTTTAATCAATTTGCAAAATAATTGTTAGTTGCAGCTCTAGAATAGACTTTAAAATTATTTTATTAGTTTATAATCACTGAATAGATCTGTTGTCAGTGGATCTACCTCCCAGACCACTCAGGTCTTCTAGTTCCAGCCTACTCTGTTCACCCAGAATTAGAACCAAACATAGAGAAGCAGCATCTATGCTCCACTGATCTGGAACGAACTCACAGAAGACTGGAAAAGAGCTCAAAGCCTGAGTTCTTTGAAGTCAAAGTTTAAAACATATTTCTTTCTTTAAAGCTACCTTTGGCTGTTGAAGTTAAACTGTTAACTGAGGTATCATTAGTTCTGTTTTGTTTCAATACCTACTTTTATCATGTTTTTATCTTGATTGCCTTTTATTTTTTCCCATTTTATTATTACCCAATGCCTGTAAAGCACCTCTGATTGTCTGTGCAGTAAAATGTTCTTGACAAACTTGCCTTGAAATGGTTCCTTTTAATTGAATTGTTCCTCTTAATTGTTCTCTGATCATTTGATTTCAGTAAATGTTTTGAATCTTGACAAGTGTTTCACTCCTTTCACTTCTGCAATGTTTTTTTCTTGCAGTTCAACCTTCATTAATGAGTGCAATAATTACCTGTTATAATAGCAATAAATGGGAAGGTTAATTGGAGAAACTCTGATGACAAAGCCTTGTGAGGGTGGAGTGTAATTCAACAGATATGAATACACCAGCTGACCACCAACCACCTAAAAAATGAGAGAAAATCTAAATCAAACATTATGGCTGGCTTTGTGTCCTCAAAAACAAATTTATAACAAAAATAGATCTTTACATCACAGCCAACAAGCAAGACAAAACACCACAGAAGAGTTGGGACAAACTTGTTTGAGACCTCTGGGGGGGGTTTCTGAAGAAGACATTGGGCCTCACGCAACAACATCTGCATATTCTTGTAAATTTATCTTACTTTATTCACCTAGAGTGGTTAAGGAGGGACGAATCCCTCCTAAACCTGATTGAGTCAACTTGTGCATAAGTGAGCACGCCTTACAAAGTAAAGTAAATCTGCAATATTACCGCCCCAATAATATCATACATGGATGCTACTTCCCACACTGTAAGGCCTTCATTTACAGAAATGGTAATGCAGACGAAGAAGGAAAAAATTTACGTTTTGGAGCGAGAGGTTCTACTGACAGAGCTAAGCAGCAGAAGCATGAGTAAAAACCAAGCATTTCTTCATACGAACGGTTGTTGCACAAGTTCATAAAAGCATATCTATTACTCGATACACATTAAAAGAAAAGACCCTCTGTGCCACAGACTTTTTTTTATGATATTATAAAGAAACATTCACAGAATGCAAGTCAAGTTAGTGTAAAAGCTGGAGTATCTTGGACTTGGGACTGCCTGTTAGTTATATTAATCTGTAAGAGCCATAGTGATAAATCTGAGCCGTTTCCTGCAACTTGTTCAAGTTTGTTAAAATTCCTCTTGAAGTGAAAAAACCTTTTCTATTCTCATATGATTCATATTATTTTTAATGTGAATCTGCTGCAGAAATTAAAGGACAGAGACAGAGTTTAAGTGAATTACAGTACAAAAAGAAAAAATATTAAATTATAATGTGTTAAATTCCCATCTAATTTTTTTATAAGTACAAATTGGAAGTCCTGACATAAAAAAAAAAAAAAAAATCTTGATAATTTCTAACAATCACATTGCATATGACTCCAACACAGATTACCCTTTTATTATCAGCCTTGTAAGTAGCCCATTGAAGCACGGGTGCATATAAGTTATTTGGCATTATTGAAAAGGATACAAATTCTTTTTTAATGATCATAACAGTCATTTACTGGTTTTAATAAAACCTCAGAATGCAGCAGCAAGGCTGTTAAAGTAACTAAAAAATGCATCCAACTCATGTCATGGCCTCCCTGCACAGCTTCCTAAACCTCACTTGTATACTTTAACCTTGAGGTACTTCATCACCAGGTCCTCAAAACAGGAACTGGTGATGACTCTCCATCAGTCAGTTTAAAGACTAATCCAAAGTAGTCTGGGCTATTCAGGGAAATGTTCCTCAGGGCTTGAAATGTTATTTATTGTACAGATGGAATAGAATATTTTAGAAAACCATCCATCCATTATTTGACACGCTTATCTTGAGTGGGGTGGCGAGGCGTGCTGGTGTCTATCTGCAGCAGTCAATGGGTGAGAGGCAGGGTAGACCCTGGACAGACCTCCAGTCCATTGCAGAAAACCACTTAAACAAATTTTCATTAAGAAAGGTCTTACTTCATGTGCCGTTCTAATTTCTCAGTGAAGCTCTAAGAAATGTTTTGAAAGGTACTGTAAATATTGAATATCTTTTACATCTAGTAAAAGACAATTGATATGCTAGTCTTAAAAGGAAAAATCATTCAGAATTCAAGCTTCTTAAAGTACTTTAAATATGAAATTATTACATACAGGTGCTGGTCATAAAATTAGAATATCATGAAAAAGTAGATTGATTTCAGTAATTCCATTTAAAAAGTGAAACTTGTATATTATATTCATACATTATATACAAACTCATATATTTCAGATGTTTATTTTGTTTAATTTTGATGATTACAAATGACAACAAATGAAAATCTCAAATTCATCATATCAGAAAATTAGAATATTACTGAAGACCAATAAAAACAAAGGATTTATAGAAATGTTGGCCAACTGAAAAGTATGAACATGAAAAGTATGAGCATGTACAGCACTCAGTATTTAGTTGGGCCTCCTTTGGCCTGTATTACTGCAGCAATGCGGCGTGGCATGGAGTCGATCAGTCTGTGGCACTGCTCAGGTGTTATGATAGCCCAGGTTGCTCTAATAGTGGCTTTTAGCTCTTCTGAATTGTTGGGTCTGGTGTATTGCATCTTCTTCTTCACAATACCCCATAGATTTTCTATGGGGTTAAGGTCAGGAGAGTTTGCTGGCCAATTAAGAACAGGGATACCATGGTCCTTCAACCAGGTACTGGTAGCTTTGGCACTGTGTGCAGGTGCCAAGTCCTGTTGGAAAATGAAATCTGCATCTCCAAAAAGTTGGTCAGCTGCAGGAAGCATGAAGTGCTCTAAAACTTCCTGGTATGTGGCTGCGTTGACCCTGGACCTCAGAAAACACAATGGACCAACACCAGCAGATGACATGGCACCCCAAACCATCACTGACTGTGGAAACTTTACACTGGACTTCAAGCAACGTGGATGAAGTGCCTCTCTTCTTTTCCTCCAGACTCTGGGACCTTGATTTCCAAAGGAAATGCAAAATTTACTTTCATCAGAGAACATGACTTTGGACCACTCACCAGCAGTCCAGTCCTGTTTCTCTTTAGCCCAGGCAAGACGCTTCTGATGCTGTCTGTGGTTCAAGAGTGGCTTGACACAAGGAATGCGACAGCAGAAACCCATGTCTTTCATACGTCTGTGTGTGGTGGTTCTTGAAGCACTCACTCCAGCTGCAGTCCACTCTTTGTGAATCTCCCCCACATTTTTGAATGGGTTTTGTTTCACAATCCTCTCCAGGGTGCGGTTATCTCTCTTGCTTGTACACTTTTTTCGACCACATCTTTTCCTTCCCTTCGCCTCTCTATTAATGTGCTTGGACACTGAGCTCTGTGAACAGCCAGCCTCTTTAGCGATGACCTTTTGTGTCTTGCCCTCCTTGTGCAAGGTGTCGATGGTCGTCTTTTGGACAACTGTCAAGTCAGCAGTCTTCCCCATGATTGTGTAGCCTATAGAACTAGACTGAAAGACCATTTAAAGGCTTTTGCAGGTGGTTTGAGTTAATTAGCTGATTAGAGTGTGGCACCAGGGGCCATCAATTTTGAACCTTTTCACAATATTCTAATTTTCTGATATGATGAATTTGAGATTTTCATTTGTTGTCATTTGTAATCATCAAAATTAAACAAAATAAACATCTGAAATATATGAGTTCGTATGTAATGTATGAATATAATATACAAGTTTCACTTTTTAAATGGAATTACTGAAATCAATCTACTTTTTCATGATATTCTAATTCTATGACCAGCACCTGTATGTTCAACAAATAAGTGTTTTTAAATTCAGAGTAATTTTGAATGTGCTTTACTGGAGGCATCCATGTTTGTCAAAGAACACTACTGCCACCTAATGGTTAGTGACGTCACGGTGCGGTATCGGCTGTTGATCAAGTCCCAGTGCTGTATCTGGTGTTTGTCACAACGCGCTATTATCCAAGTCATCTTGAAAACATTCTTCTTCCAAATGTTGGCTACATATTACGGGTTTTTTCTCTGGCCAGAAGTTCGATGGCAAATCCTCCCTCTTCAAGTTGGCGATCCAACGACCAACCCGTCCGTGGAGGATCAGGAATCAGAAAGGTGGAATAACTCTTTTTTTCACTTTTACCCGATGTATTCCAGCATCCAGCTGCCATGCACGTGGGCATTGTCAGTTTCACTATAGCTCTGGTGAATTTCAACGGTGAAGTCCTCTGGAAATCTTCAATAATTGTTGTTGATTGCAGATGTGTCTAGTAGTTCCCATTGATTTAGCTTGGAAAGCGGGGAGAATGGCGCTAGGCTTACCGCGACGTGACGTCACTGCTGGAAGATGGCAGGAGGGAGGGGCTACTATACTTGGGCAAAAAATGGTCGTTCCCAGACTCAGCGATCACGACAAAAAATACTGTTTTTATTATTTTACTGATTCACGCTAAATTCATAAAATCACAGCAACTGTATTAGTTATAGGTATAAATAATGATCCATTAATTATTTCTTGCTGACCGGACTTCTCTTTTAAGTACATTTTGTCTGTTCTACCCAACACACAAAACAAATCTAAATTAATTTCCCTCAGTAGCCATCGAGAAAGTACGTTAAATACATTCAGGTCGATTGCGTGGTGGTGATAAAACTCCAAAAAAAGGAAAACGAGTGCCCAAAAGCAGTGTTAGGAAACACTGCTGCTATAGTGAGACTAATTTTAATCAGCCAACATTTTCTTAAAAATACATAAATTGCTCTCAAAGTGGTGAGTTTATCTATAAAATAGAGTAGATTTTATGGTGTTCTATTTGCAACAACAAAAAAATGTGTGCATGTGTGTTGTGACATGTCCCGTGTATGCCAGACATGCAGTGGGTTTATGTGCATCTATCAGATGTAAACGCCGTGTCCTAACGTATTATGTCTATGGAAAATATGCACATGTCATGAGTTGTTGACCGCGTCCTCATGATGATGTTTGACCATGTTGTGGAACCCGTCTTTTTTTCCTGTTGTCACATTTTGTCTTTTGTGTTCTCCATTCTCACCTCTGTCTGGCAGCGTTATCCCTCGTCTCCATAGCCAGCGTCTCTTTTCTGTCCTTATTCACAGTAGCAGTTTGTTTTTACTGTATTTTGTTTAGATGTCACAAGAGTAATTTTCCTTTTTCATCAGCTCTTTATTCCAGTTACCTTCAGCCAATGCATTGCTTTATAACTTACCAGTCAAGCTAAAACCATGTACATGCAACTTCTGGCTGACAGCGCTGGATTTATTTTACCATAAGAGGCCTAAACACAAAAGATTTTTTTCCTGCAAACTTTAGCTTGAATGCAATTGAAATCCACTTTTTATACACTTTTAGTGAATTGGTGTTCAGACAAAAATTGATCTAAATGCAGAGGAAAAATGTGTCCACTGCAAAATTAATAATTTCGTTCCCTGATATAAATAAGCAGCATCAAACGGTAGAAATTATGAACAGATGAGAGATTTAAAACCTACACCTATTTGTTGGGGCCCATTGGACATGCACTGCAGCTCAAATTGCAGGTAAAATTAGATGTTTTTGTTTAGGCCTCTTATTGAAAAAAAACTCCAACCGGAAGTAGCATGCACACATTCCGTTCTTGACCACTGTGTTGGCTACCAGTTAGTTATAAAGCAATGCATTGCCTGGAGGTAACTGAACAGAGAGAACAAAGAAAAGGGGTGATTGCCATTGTAACATCAGACAGAAAAGAAAGAAGCAAACTGCTACTATGAATAAGGACAAAAAAGAGAGACACGACAGGCGACACAGCTAGACAGAAGTGAGAACAACAGATTGTAAATGACAGGTTCTAAAACATGGTCAAATGTGACAACAGGAGGACAAATGAACAATTCATGAAATGCACATAAAATACTACATAGACAATACCAACACACAGCATGTGGACACAACATCTACATCTCGCAGATACATGCTACATATACAACCGCTATTACTTACACATGCCAAACACATGCCTCACATACATGAACACGTCACAACACACGAGCACATTTATCTGCCGCAAAATGAGCGCCAATATCTTTTTCTTTATTGAACCTGTAGTTTTTAAAGTTAATGTTTCTAAGAACACTAAAGCAAAGGACTTCAACGTTTTCCAGGTCAAGGACCCCAAAACTGGTGGCGAGATCAAGGGGGACCCCTAATTTTATATATTGTATGAAATTGTGTTCTATCAAACTGGTTCTATAGTCACTCTATTACAGATGGAGTAATGTAACTAAAGTAATCCCTCCCTGGGATTATTAAAGTATTTCTGATTCCTGGTTGATGGGACAGGTGTTGTGAATGAAACGGTGTCCAGCTTGAAAGAGCTCCTGTGTGTCTCTGAATGTGAGCATTGATGACTGAAAGACATCTTCTGCCTCCATTGATCTGTTTACTGCAGTCTGTTGGATTCATGTTAATGTGGATTTAAAAACATTTCAATTAGTGGAAAAAACTGCAGGGGGAATATAAAAAAAAAAAGTCTAATCAATCAAAACTTTTATAACCCCCATGCAGGACCTCCGTGGACCCCCTGTTGATGACCTCCACACTATGACATACATTATATACAATACAATCTGTCATAAGCTTAGTGTGAGAGGTTAGCGATTTCTGGTGGTCTCTCTGAAGCTTTTCCTGATGGTTTTTCTTTTTCCTCATCCACCAACACATTGCTGTATCCTAGGCATAGGCACTTATAGGCAGGGGCCAACAAGGCCCAGCGCCCCTGTACTTAAAACATGCACTACAAAAAAAAATGTTTTGGTATGAAAATGTACATATAGCCCCTGATTCCACATACTCCCTCAGCGCTCCGCCCCGCTCACGTACATCGTGTTGAGCTCTTGTCTGTCATGTTAATCAATGAGAACTGTTCCACATCCACCGCTACTCCTCCACACGTCACCATCCACGTACATCTTCTCCGTCCGTCACCGTCAAAATATGGAGCCAAGCTATATTATGCTCCACTCCGGTCAAGATCTGTAATTGAATCGCACTAAACAGGAAAAAGAACGCTCGAGAAGATCCGGTAGTCCAATTAAAATACGGTAAAATATTGATAACTACAAATTATAGCATAATTCTTATATATTCCCAAAAAAACGAACACTGTTTATTTAAAAGATTGGATGTAAACTAAGTCTAAAAACACTTATTGCAGGAATGAATGAAGAGAGGCTGAGTTTGGAAGTAGAGAACAAACATAGTTCATAAAAAACTATTATGTATGATCCCTGATAAACAAATCCACAACAAAAAGAAAATATTTGGGCAGAAACTGTACATATGCTGGATGCTGATTTTTTTCATACGTCATTAAATTAAGCGTTCATTTCCGCATGTTTTGCTCCTATGAATTTAGTAACATTGTTTAATTCAGAGGAAGTCAGAGCGAAGCAAGACGGGAGGAACAGCGGAGGATGCAGTTTGGTGCAGAGCGGGTTTCAATAAAAAAATTATTACTATTTCAAGTAGTTTGTATGTAATTATCTTATTTTTGCGAGAAAATAAGGCAATAATCTTATTTACCTGCTCATTTTAAGAAGTTTTTACAGTTTAGATTACTTTTTGCTGTGTCAACCTAAATAAGTCATATGATTCTATCCATTGACAGAATGGACTGCACTCACATCTTAGATCTTGTTTTGAACTTTCTGTTATGAGACTATCATGATTTCAAGAAGTCTTGCAAAGTGCATTTGCCTCACTGCATTGGCTACGGTGGCCCTGAAGTGCAAACTGCAACTACAAATCTAAAAGCGCAACTACATTAAGGAAATCCAACTATATTATGGAAAACACAATTGCATTAACCTACCGGAAAAGGTAGGAACCAGTGGGAAACATGAGACATCGCTGATTGGACGACGGCGCCGTTTGACCCTTGAACCGGAAGTTGCGTCGTCTGAACAGTCCAGCTTCTTTTAAGTGTGTCTTCAGTGTACGCAAACTAACAGAAATTTCGTGATTAGTCTTGAGCATATCCAGTATCACCTCGTACGTTTGTCCTGATTCAAAATATTCCTGGATAACGGCAGCCATGTTTGGGGCGCCGACAATATCCATGTTTTCAAAAGCCGCAGCAGGCAGAATGACTTCCGGTTCAAGGGTCAAACGGCGCCGTCGTCCAATCAGCGATGTCTCATGTTTCCCACTGGTACCTACCTTTTCCGGTAGGTTAATGCAAGTTAGTTTTCCTTAATGTAGTTGCGCTTTGCTTTATGTAGTTGCGATTTCCTTAATGTAGTTGCGCTTTGCTTTATGTAGTTGCGCTTTGCTTTATGTAGTTGCGCTTTGCTTTATGTAGTTGCGATTTCCTTAATGTAGTTGCGCTTTGCTTTATGTAGTTGCGATTTCCTTAATGTAGTTGTGCTTTTAGATTTGTAGTTGCAGTTTGCACTTCAGGGCCACCGTAATTGGCAGATTGTTGCACTTCTTTTAAGTGATCATCTCTTGCTTAGTGGATCAATCTCCATATATTTAGATCAGACGGACAATTTTTGCAGCATGTAACTGATGATAATTGACTTGGACCAATTTAATCATTCACCTTTACAATTGACTTTAAGAAATGCAGTCACCTTAAAACTTCAGCCATAATAAGATAAAACCAGGTTTTCATCATCATTATTCTTGTTCTGTGTGCCCATTAAAAACAGCGCCCCCCACCCTGGCCCCCCGGCAAACTTTGTCTAGAACCGCCACTGAACTTAGAGGTACAAACCTGAAGTTTTCCACCACAATCCAGCAATCCGTGCTCAAAGTACAAGAACCGGGAGGTGACTACCCTGGGAGGGCACGCGCCTATCCGGAACCGGGATGGTTCTCTCCAGGCCCGCAGCTGGTAGCGGTCCACCCGCACAGACACGCGCTCCGCGCCGCACCGAGCCTCCACAGCGCGCGCCACTCTGTCCGTGACGCTCTGATGTTGCCGCAGCGGAGGAATGAGGAGTCCGGTGACTCCGGCTGGGGGGGGCCCTCTGTACCCTCCAGGCTGGAACAGCTGCTGCGGGATGAGCGGCGAACGCGCGTGGAGGAAGACCGGCAGGCGGTAGAAGGGAAGGCTGGGCATGCCGTTCATCATCGCAGGCTCCATCTCCTCTGACCAGGCCGGAAGCAGAACCGGAGCTCCAAATGTAGCATGCAGCAGCCCCCAGAGAAGCCAGACAAACGCAGACATTACCAGACGGCAGGAGGAACTAACCCGGTGGGAAGTGTTCAGCTGCCCGCAGTAAAAACTCTGCTTCTGCGGTCAGCTGCTCACCTGTCCGCTTCATTATCACACCTGCAACACCTGATTGGCTCTTTCTATGCGCTCTGTCCCTTTGATCTGCATGAAGGGAGATAACAAATTTTTCAAAGAAACTAAGTATTTGACAGCAAAAATATAGTTGACACTCAAAAAAGTAAATTTGAACCCTGCTTTTCTTTGATAAAATTTTTTTTTATTTGATAGAAGTCAAATCATTTTTGTTTAAAGCAACTTTTTGAATTGCAGAAACATTGTTTTTTGATTGGACCATATAATGAGGAGGAAATTAGATTCTTTATGATTCACTCAAAAAAGAAGTCACTTCAAACAAACAAACAACAAAATTAATTTTTAAAAAGCCTCTGGAATAAAAAGATAAACGTTTGCGAACATATAAAATAGTTTTTGAATGCAAATAAAATATTTGAGACTTCAGAAATTGCAATTGAACTCCTTTTTAATAGAAAATCTTCTCTTTCATCTGAGTAATCTTTTTTGTTTGGGACCTACACATTTGTGTCTTAATCTTTCAATTCCCAAAAAAATTTTTCAATCAAAGAAAATATATTTTCAATCAAAGAAAAAACTGTTCAAATGTATGGAAGCCCATTTCCGCCATGCTGTTAAAAAGACTAAAATATATTGAATGTGGCAAATCTGCTGCCAAAGATTTGTGGCAGCTAAGCTGGCTCGGAGCTCGTCTGCCTGGCTGTGTGTTTCCTGGACGGGGCCGCCTGTGGAGCTGGTTGACAGTTGCCTTTTGTATCTATGCTTCTTTTTCTATGTCTGCTTCTGTCTCCTTGAACCCCAGTGGGCCTCAGCAGATGGCCGCTCACACTGAGCCTGGTTCTGCTGGAGGTTTCTTCCTGTTCAAAGGGAGTTTTTCCTCTCCACTGTCGCTACAAGCATGCTTAGTGTGAGGGATTGCTGAAGAGTCAATGAGTCGATGCAATCAGCTGGTTTTCCTTAGATAGAAAACTTTGAATCAATCTGACTGGATGATCTGGTGAACTGGAAAGTGACCTGAGATGACATGATGTGGATTGGCGCTATAGAAATAAACTGAATAGAATTGGTTATTTAATACATATAAGTTATGAAGTGTTGTTCAAAGAGTTTGTCCTAAGTGATCTCTTTTCAGGGAAAAGAACTAGAGAGATAGCGTATCAGGGTGCAGACACAGAGCATGTGTTTAACAAGAGTTTGGTCAATGTTAGATGATGAGGTGACTCAGAGCAAGGCCTTTTTAAAAAGCCAATTTTCCACAAATAAATTCTAAAACCCTTTGCTGTGGCTTAACTGAATGCTTTATTAGAAATCTTTAACACCGTGGAACTATTAATACAGATTGTCCAAATTAAGTTTTGCGAAGAAGCAACATGTTCTGATTAATAATGCTATTAGTAAAACTCATTCTCACTAAAAGGTTAGTTTACCTTTTTTCCTATTCCTGACAGACTAGAGATGTCATACCACTGTAGGGGCTGCAGGAAAAAAAATACATAAATTTGATTGCAAAATGCTACAAAATAGATTGACTGATCTGCTTCAACCAACCCAAGTGTTTGATCTTTGAAATCTCTGAGGCCAAAAAAGAAAAGAAAAAAAAGCTCTGCGAGGACTAAAGTATCCCAGCGTATAAAAAGAAACTGATATGAATCTACTTTGATGAAAAACAAGCCACTAAAGCCGGGCATACGCTGTACAATTTTTTTCAATCGTTGCACTACAGCTCACACTGTACGACAAAACCACAGGGCTTAAAAATTCACAGCTCACGATTTTGTTCTCACACTGTGCGACCAGACGCTCTGATGCGATCTACCTGCTCACACCGTACGTCTAAAAACCAGGTGGGACTCAGCTCTGCAGTGAGATGGCGCTACTCGGACTCGTCTATCTGGAAGCCAAACGATTAGAAGAGGAACATGAAGCTCACTAGAGTGAAACGCGCTGCCTTGGAAAAGCCCTGAAAAGAAAAGGCGACAACGTATTTGGACAAAGACATGGCTGAGCTAACGTGGCTACTATGGTCTGTCAGTTTGACAGAAAGAACTCCATTTCACTCATTGCCCCCCCGCCATGATGCTGGGTTTACAGCTGAGAAGAAGAATCCTTGTTTGCCCACTGCGTGATTTACCCTCGACCACCTTACGACGGCCGACTGAATTTCAAACATATTTGATATTCTCCTGACCTTACGATTCCTGATGGTGAGAGGCTGATCGCCCCTCGTGACCCGCTGTACTCTACACCACACATGACGCAAAAGACAGAAAGTTGGCCCGACCGAAAAATTCTTGCACGACTGGAAGATCGGCCCAAAAAGGGCAAAAAAAAATCGTTGAGTGTATGACCAGCTTAATAGAAACCAGCAGGATGACTCTAGCAGAAGGTCCACAGCATTGAGAGTGTGCGCTTTAATAACTTGTTTCTGTTCTCATGGACCACTTATGCTGCATGTTTACGATGCTCCCCTGCTTTAATACCTCTAAATCAAATAAACTGGTCATTACCAGACTCCTGCAGAGACAGATAAAACATGAAGGATGACAGTTGCTGAGGGCTAGATTTGAATCCTACTGATTTCATGGAAGAAAAATCCTCACTAGGCCAAAGCAGAGCAGAAGCTGAAGTGTTTATTGAAGAATTATATTAGGATGTTTGCTCTCAGTGTAACTTCAGCATCACTCAGAGGGTTTGTCCCCTGCAGAGTCACTCTCATCAGAGCCCGAGGACGCAGGGATGTCCTGGACGGCAACCAGGGACGTGTCTGCCTGTACATCCTCCTCATCTGATTGTACCAGGGGCTTTTCACCCTCCCCACTGGCTCCTTCTTCCTGCTGCCACTCTGCAACCTCGGTTAACTGACCGGTGTTTGTGGGGGAAATCTGGTTCAAGGACTCCAAAGAGGATGACTGAAGGTCTGGACCTGTTAAAACAAGACAAAACAATAAAAAGGTTGAAGGAAAAGAAGTTAACTTTCATTCAAGTAAAAACTAACTCTATTCATAGTGAACCTGGAGACTTCTTTTATTATCAGCGTGTCGACTTCAGTACCATTTGTAACCACTGTAATTGTTCATATACTCTGTTCTAAACTAGTCTGAATTACCTGAAGTAAGAGATGATCCAGAACTCGAATCTTCACCGCTGGAATTCAGAAAGTCATCCAAGGCCTCCTGGTCTGATAAGTTAACGATTCCCATTTGATCCAGGGCGGCCGTATCAACCCCCACTGATGCTGCAATAACACAAATACAGACATTTATAAATAATTTATGGTACAAAAAACCCTGCATCACTCAGGGTTGGTTTTTGGCAGCCATTCTAGTTTTAGTCAAGATCCATTAATTAGTTTGACAGATTTTAATGAATTAAAAAATCTGCACATTTTATTATACATAGTAAAGTCTGAGGTGGAAACCTTTTTCTTGTACAGTAGCAGCCATTCACAATTTCCCTAAACTTTCCTTGATGGGTCCTTGGTTGGTCCCCTTCAATTCCTTTTTAAACATCAATCTTTGAACTAAAATATTCTGTCATGATTTGTGGACATTAAGATCTAAAGAGAAGCGCCACCTCCTGGTCAGACCCTGTAATTCAGTGAAAGGGTGGAGTCAGAGTAAAGAAATCATGAACGCCAATGGATGGATGGATGGATATATACACATACATACAATTGCTTGTGTGGGTGGGCTTTTTTCCAATTTCACAATTAAACTTGGACTAGGACTTGTTGAAAACTGACCACATTTTCTGGTCCTATTCTATTAAACGTTTAGGTTTCAGGCTAAGGAGTGAAGTGACTTTAGTTTAGGTTGATTATGCACTGGAAAGGTTTAGAAATGATTGAAAATCAATGGAAGTCAATGGGAGCCAACCCATGGTTCTCAGTAAATATAGCAAGACAAGAAGGAGAGTGTGTTTGTGTATACTTGCATCATCATAAACGGAAACTTTTGCTAAAAAGCTTATAATGCCAGTTTAAGTGTCTTGAGTTACCTCTGCTCTGTAGGCATCCAGTGGAAAGATATTTCTCTACATCTTGGTGGAATGCTTTCTCGTAGACCTTCTGTCGTTCTCTTAGTTTCTGTTGCATAGCCAGCTCCAACTCCGCAACTCTTTGTGCATGTTCAGAGTTCAATTCAGCTACAAAATCCACACAAATTTACAATTACTGTTTTTGGGAAAATCAAGCATAAATCCTAAGTCATTTGTTGGCAAAGAAAATACATACTCAAGAAATAACTTTGATTTTATTAATATATGTCTGTAAATTCTCAGTCAGGCAGGTTATGGCAACCATAAATCGGGCTTGAATTGGAAGGCGACCGGACTCACGCTCAGTTTTTTCAAGACATTGAGGCCGTTTCTGGATTCACAATTATGAAAGTACAGACTCGTGTCCTCGCCAAGTATGTTCTTGATAACAACACAGGAAAGTGTGGACTTGGTGAGAACGGGAGGATGTAGCAATGGGTCAATTGGAACAGAAACGTACTGATGATGTCACCGTGAGTACGCCATGATGAAATGCAGCTCCAGACCAGCTGAGCGTGTGTTTTTTTTTTATTATAAATAAACAAAAAAGCTGGTCTGGAGCTGCATTTCACCCGCTGTTATTAATAGTCTCTAGATAATAATAAATTCTTACGTTTTTCATGTATTGGGGGAATAATAGTGAAAACAGTCAGATAAACACAAAGCAAATCAACATTTTGCCAGCGATCCTTCACACACGGTTATGCAGAGAGAGGGCTGCTGCAGACGGGCTAAAGTTAGCCTGACTGCTGTTAGCATTGGAGATCCACTGGCTGCCGCGGTATTCTCACCTCAAAATATCTTAAAACGTACTTTTATGGAACAACAGTAACAGAAAAGAGAACTTTTAACTTAATACTCTGAGCTCTGTGAGCGCTCCACTGGAAGCTGCTGCTGCCGCAGTGCATGCTGGGACATCTTTCAATCTGGAGAACAGACAAGTCTGCTCTGACGTATACTGGGTAAAGAGGGAGGGGCAAGAACAACATCCGGGGACTTTGTCCCTTCTTAGTCTTCTTGTTCTTGTGAATTGTAGCAGTACTAGTGCTGAGGCTGATGATGCTTCACACGAGCACATGAGAACGCACAAGTACACATATTGAGAAACGGCCTTAGACATCTATCCAGGTCGAACCAGAGCCTTTGCCGGCTTGCTCTCGTGCGAGCCAACATAACTGACAAAGACTCCTGGATGGGTGTCTAAACATCTTCAAAATAACCAAGCGAAAGTCCGGTTGCCTTTGAATATAAGCCTGTTACATGGTTAATGTATCAATAGCAGACAGTAGAGAGTCCAGGACATTTTATTGCCTTATAAAACATTAATTTCTTCAAGTCAGGACAAAGATACTGTCATCATCCTGAAGCAGCAGATATGGCACTGAATTATTTCTGTGCCTTTAAAGAAGAAATAAGCTTTTCAGGCATACTTAAACCCTTCTGTGCCATGGGAGAGCTTGACTTTTCATCAACGGCTTTAATTTTGTTATAATCATCTTTTTTTGTCATCTCCATCTATACCGATACATTTTGTTGAAACATCAAAGTCTAATTTTGTCTCTAAAGTGCAACATGTCAAATTCCTACAGAAAAACAACAACCCTGAAATACCTATCATATAAAAATCAACGATTTTGAGCTTCTAAATTTGTTATAATGCTATTCCATCATCAAAATCACGCCCAAAGTGGTATTAAAATATTCATACTGCATAGTAGTGTTCTTATAGTATACATGTTTTGTATTGCTAAGTGCACTTTAAGGGAGCTGCTCTTAAAACTAATTGTTTTGAGGATAATCAAAATAAAGGCTTTCTAATTCTATTTCAATTGATTCTACTTGATGCATACATGTCTTTAGGAATTTTGTTGTCAGAGCAGCAGCTCCTCCCAATCCTGGAAAAGTGAGCAGCCATTCTACTTATAGCTAATGTCCACAGTCACTGTGTTATCAAAACCAATTCTTCCCCCAAACAAACTAAGCTTTCTACAGTAATTAAGCCCAACAACAGATTACTACGAGCCCCGTCACACCTTGACAATTTACAAAAAATCTGGCAAAAACGCTGGCATACGTTGGATAGGTTATTTAGGTACGCTGGCACATGTCGACATACTGTGAGTACACCGACGTGTCGCCATACGTAGGCCATAAGTTACAGGTCAGTTATCCGACCAGCTTATCTTATCCAGACGAGCGCTGAACGTGTTTCTAACTTCCAGCTACTGTATAATGGCATATTAGCAGCGTTTTGGTGTAAAGGGGGTTCACAGGAGGAAATCGTTAGTTCTCCTCCATCATAGGGCTAACCGAGAGTGGGAGAGTGATTTATCCTCCCTGCGTTCACGCCCACCACCAACAAACTTGCTAGCAGACATGACGCTGAATCTGCTGCCACTTCAACCCTTCTTTCTTTCTTTTTATTTATTTATTTAGCTAGGATAAAACCGTGATCAGAGACATCTTTTTATGAAGACAGGGCGCCTCCGGGTGCATCGCTGCCCCCCCTCAGCTTTAGTTGATGTTTCATAATGCCCATGAACTAATGCTAGTGCATTATTTCATGGGCATTACGCTGCGGTGCGTTATGCATAAGTTAGGCTGTCGTTGGAGATAAGTTCTGGACTCATTAATAATACTCGATGTATACGCCCAAAATTGAAAAGTACATAGAAAGTTCAGCGTAGGTCAGCATTTTATGAGATTCTGGGACGTCAGGCATAAGCTGGATAAATCAGCAAGGGTGTGACAGGGCCCTAAAACCGCCATCGGTGCTTGCAGGCAATACCTTAGACACTAAGAGTAATTTCTAGTAGCACGGCCAATCACATAGTAGTACTGTGGAAGGACACTACCACTGCAATAATTAGCCCAAGTGGCCAAAATATGTTTTTTGGCTACAAAATATGTCAGATGTTGTTCGGACGTCAGAGTAGAATTTAGTCATAAGAAGTAGATTGATAAGCCAGCATTATGAATTGGGTGACACCCACATGAGAGAGGTAATGTTAGAGGAAAGGCACAACTCTTAATATAGATCCTTTAAAAATATATTTGTCTCACCCTGGTTCACATTCCTGCTCCAAACTACTGCAGATTAACAACATGTATCAGATATTAAAGGGTAAAAACGTTCATAAAATTTTATAAATATTTCCCAGACGGAGCTATGTGAAAAGTAGAAATCTGAGAGAACTGGAGTTCAGACAGTTTGGGCTTCCTTACTGTTATTGCTACCTTTATTAATGTTATCATCGTTACCAAAATGGTTTCATTTAAAACAGAAAGGACGTGTTTTACCAGTGATAAACTGCTGCTTACCTTCCAGTGATTCCAACTCTTTCCTGCAAGAAATTAGACAGTTTTCCATTAAAACCAATATGATCAAATGTTTTTTTCATTTTTCAGAATGAAATCACTGAACAAAACCAAACCGTTCATAAATAACTCATGATGAGTCAATGAGTCAATTTCTTTTACAATTAGAAACCAAAGATAGCATTGACCTTGAATAAACACATTTAGATCCCATCAATCATGTAGACAAAATAAATAACAAAATAAGGGACATTCCTGCTCACCAAAAATGTTTGCATCACTTATATACAAATTTACAATAAAATGAGGACATCATCACCAAAACTAGAGGTATTAACAAACACCTGGTAATGAATATAGGAACCAGGCATTTCTTTAACCTTCAGAGTTGTTTCTGTCCAGGTAATTTGCTAGACTTTGGTTCCTTTTCTAAATGTAAAGTGTTTTATCAGGAAAAATAAAATACAATGTATTTATTGAGACATTTGTTTTATAAAACATTGATGAATTAATTATCTAGAATGGTATCTATTTTATTTTGGTTAATTTGGAATGAAACAGCTCACCAAACAGAGAAACATCAAAGAAACTTAAACTATACTGTGAAAAGTGAATTCTCACCCATCCAAACAATAAAATCCAAGTTTGCTAGTGGAGATTCTCAGTCAAACAGGTCATAGTCATTCCAAAAGTTTAAAGTTAAAAAACAATCCACTGGACTTTGTTTTCCAAGTTTGAAGACGTTTCGCCTCCCATCCAGGAATCTTTCTCAATTCAAAATGTCACCATTAGCATCGAGTTCCAGGCTTTTATAGAGTAGCCCAACAAAGCCTTGTAATGGATTAGAAAACATGCACATTGAAGCTGGAAACCCAGCTCCACCCCTTAATAAAGCGAGTCGTTGGCGACCTCCTTCGGACAATATTCTGGTGTCCACATACACGTTAAGGACAAAGGACATTCGTTTGACGACCAGAGTGTTCACATATTAGATAAAGAAGGCAGGGGGGTTCTAAAGGGGCGTGAAGGAAGCCATTTATGTTAAAAGAGAAAAAACAACCTTAAACAGAGCTGCGTTGTAGCTCTCAAAAACCTACAACGCAGCGATACAGTTGATTCCTTCCTAAAATCATCTCTACCCCCATCGCTATGCAGGGGAACAAAATATCTGGCCAGATCAGCCAGGCCAACTATGACCCCTTTACACTAGAGTCCTGCAACGGGTCGGGTACCCGCGGGTCCTCGACGGGTCACCCGCTAAAATGCTCTTTTGCGGGCGAAAAATACATAAATAAAAATAAACGGGTCGGGCAGATATTTTTTTAGTGCCGGCGGGTAGATGGTCTTTTTTTTTTTATGCGTGTGTGTTGTTATGGACATCAGAAATATTATATTAATCAGGCACTGGGGTTGCCCTTGTTGTAGCTTAAAGCCCTGCCGGCAGTGTGGGCTTCCCTCCAAAAAGGCCACAGTCAGTGCATACACGTCTGCTGCAGTGTTAATGGCGCTGTTCTGTAGCGTACTATAGCCTATTACTTGATGGGTTAACGGGTCGGGTTGCGGGTTAAATATCAACGGGTCGGGTCGGGTTCGGATTTGAATTGAAGATATCCGCGGGTGACGGGTCGGGTTCGGTAGTCATCCTAACGGCTTCGGTCGGGTGCGGGTTGGTAAAACTCGACCCATGCAGGACTCTACTTTACACTACCCTTGAAAAACCGTGCAGAGACCGGTCCGAGCTCAGTGACTGAGATAACTTATGGTGTGTAAATGGAAAGCAAACTGAACCGAACCGAGCTAGAAACAACCGAACCGAGCTAACTGCAGACCAGTTCCAGAGGTGGGCTCGGCTCGGTTTTTCCCAGGCTCGGTTCTCTGATAACAAGAGAGCATGAGCAGAACGCGTCATCTCCGTCTGGCTGCACATCCCGATTCACACTCCATTCCAGTAGTTGGCGGTCATGCCCCTCCGGAAGCTGCTTGCCAACCAACACAAAACAGATTCAATTCAATTCAGTTTATTTATATAGCGCCAAATTCACAACACATGTCATCTCAAGGCACTTTACAGATCAAAAGAACTGATGAAGAACAGATGAAGAACAACTACAAACAACAATCGAAATCTTCTCCACGCAACATTTTAAATAATGGCTCTGGTTGCCGTCGTAGCCTGACCCTCCGCAAACACCGAAGTACAGCAATAATAATCAAGCATAACCTTCTGAATGTGACGGGCGCCGCCATTTTGATTTTCTTGATTCCCTCCTTCTTCGTCTTCTTCTTCTTGTGTTTTATGGCGGTTGGCAAACAACTTTTGGTGCATTACCGCCACCAACTGCTTGATTTCCTCCTTCAATGCTGGCAGCAATACCGCAGATCGTCACTAGGAGGCGAGGAGTCGAGATAGCGTGATGTGTAAACGGTCGTCAGAATCGAGCTCGGCCTGGTTAATTGATCCGAGCTCGGACCGGTCTCGGCATGGATTGGTTTTTCAATGGTTGTGGAAATGGGGTAAATGACCCTTAACAGCTGCCTTTTAAAGGAATGGGCCAGTAACGGGTATGCAGGCCAACAACCGCCTCAACGACTTCCATTATTAAGGGGTGGAGCTGGTTTTCCAGCTTCAATGTGCTTTTTTTTTTACGCCATTAGAATACTTTTGTTGGGCCACTCTATAACACCTGGAACTCAACAATATTTCTGACATTTTGAGTTGAAAAAGCTTCCTGGATGGGAAGACATGGAACATGGAAAGTAATGTCCAGTGGGTTTTTTTTTTTTTTACTTCAACTTTTTGGAATAAAATCCAAGAGTTCCAATTATTCTGACTTACAGATGAATATAATTTAGCCCCTATGCATACAGGCTGGTAAACTATAAGCACCCCCACAGGGAATCAAACCGCAGAAGGACACAACCTGTGCATCATGTCCTAACATCTCCCTGCTAAATGTCCCACAGTCAATCAGGCATCAAAACAGCTGTGGAATTAAAAAAAGAGGAAACGATTGGGAATGACAGCAGCTAAACAAGAAATCTCTCCTCTCCTTTCACTGCGTGGTCAACTCATCCACCAGAAACAAGACAAACTGCAACAGACAATTGGGTTCACTGAATTGATCACTGCCTTCCTTCCATTATTTCTAGAGATCAGGAAAAGGGCAGCTAACATCCTTGCAAACACCACGCATCCTGCAAACAAACTCTTTAGACCTTTACTTTTAGGTAAGAGAGTATTTTCATAACTATGATTGATGACAGTCTTCTTATCTTAGTTGTAGAAACCAAAACACTGTTTCTTCTCCCAAAAAATGCACTGTCACCATCTTACAGAACATGTTTTTCTTTACAAATTAAAACAAAATAACCAAAGACCATTTTCTTGATTGTGGAAAACTGTAGTTGAGTTCATATGTGAACAGAGGAAAACTGTTGACAATAAACCAATAAGAGGCACTAAAAGAAGGACTGCTTCTAAACGGGTCAGAAATAACATCACACCTTTTCTTCTTTCTATACTCTTCCAGTTGGTTGGTATGATGAGTTTTTACAGTCTGTTGCTCACACTGACAGCACAGAGTCTCCAGATACAGCAGCCTGCTCTCCATCTCCTCAAATTCACCTTCCAAGTGAGCTGAAACACATTCATCAAAAATGATGATATAACAAATTAACAAAAACAAACGCAAGTTTATTATTTAATCTTCATAAGAAAATCTTAATCTATGTCAATTAGTCTAATAATAATAATAATAATAATAATGATGATTTTATTGAATTTAATTGATTAACTGTATTGATCTCACATTGGAGAAATGTATCTCTTCATTTAACCCATCCCCTTGGGGAGCAGTGGGCTGCCATCGTACGGCGCCCGGAGAGCAGTCTGGGGTTAAGGGTTTGGCTCAAGGACCCTGACTGGCAATCTGTGGGGCTCGAACTCAGAAGCTCAGGATTCAAAGCTCTGAGCTCTAAGCTCTAAATAAAGCATCTTAAGCTGGTGAAGATTCTCAGGAAAATCCAACTGAGCAGGTTTTTAAAAACCTACAATGCAGCAATTGAATTGATTCTTTCCCACCATCATCGCAACTGATCATTAAAAACCTGTTCAGCCAGGCCGACTATTCGCTCTAACGACCCCCCTTTCAGAGACAAAGGCTACGTTCACACTGCAGCCTGAAGTGACCCAAATCCAATTTATTCGGCCCGTATGCGACCTGGATTTGATCTTTTCACGGCAGTCTGAACAACACAGATCCGATTTTTTCCAATCTGACTCAGGCCACTTGGCTCTGTGGTCCTGAATCCGATACGAATCTGATCTTTTCAAATGCGACCTGAGTCTGAACTGCCAGGTCAGATTTATCCGACCTGAACGTCATTAATACCCGACAAAGGTCACTATTCTGGGTCTTGCTACACAGAAGCGGCAAGAAAAAGAGCAACCATGGCAGACGATGATGCGGAGAGCAGTATTGATGTTTAAACATATTGAAAAGAAAGAGATTTTATGGTTGGAAAAGAGCGCTAGATGCGCGCCGGTACTAACATCCATGTTTACTTCCGGAAAAAAAGAGCACGCTGGCCTGTGACGTCATTGCGTCCTCTACTGCGCATGCGGGACTCTTGCGTTGTATGAGTGCAGTTCACACAGGAGATCAGATACAAGTCGCATATATTTGGAAATATGAACGGCAACGCAAAAAAAAACGGATTTTGCAAAAAATCAGAATTGAGCATTAAGGCCTGCAGTGGGAATGTAGCCATAGACGGGTATGAGGCATTGCAGGCTAACAAAAGAAGCCAAATAGCCTCCATTCCAAAAGGGTGGACCCGTTTATCTGTTTCATTTTGCATGTTTTCTAAACAAAAACCAGGCTTTGTTGGGCTGCTGTATAAAACCTGGTGCTCAACGCTATTTCTGACATTTTCAAATTAAAAAGTTTCCTGAATGGAAGAGAAAAAACTTGGAAACAAAGTCCAGGGGATTGTTTTTAACTTTTTTTGTATGCATCATATGTCCCACTTCTACAACTTTTGAACTGATGCTTAATAGATTCGATTTAATTAATTTTATTTAAATAGCGCTCATTCACAACACATGTCAATTAAGAGAACTTTACAAAGACAATTCAAAAAGATCATACAGTCAGATGGGTTCAAAGTTTCTATTCATGCAGTGATGACAGGATTTAAAGAAAGGACATTTAAAATGAAACACACCTATGTTTGCAGTAATGGCATCGAGTTCAGTGATGAAATCTGGTAGGCTCTGCAGTTGTTCCTGGAGGTTCGTCAGAGCGGCTTTTCTTCTCTCCCAGTGGGCTGACAGCATCACTATGTCACCATCTACAGACTGAAAAAGGGAAGGAAACCACAGATATTATAGCTATTATTTAATCATTTTCCATATAAGCACAAAATGTCTAATTCTGAAAAACAGTGGCTAATTTTATCCTGTTGAAAATGATTTATTATTTCTTCTAATGAGAGAGGAAAATGTTGATTCTTATCATCTGATGAAGTTCATTCTGTGACAACAGATGAGAGGAGTCCTTCTGAAAGGCTCATGCAGGGTCCCTGCAGCATCAGGCAAGTTAAATTCAAGACTTTTTAAGACTTTTTAATGCCACTTGAAATAAAAATTTAAGACCAAATTCACAAGAAACACAAGAAAAACCTGCTTGCAACAACTTAACCCAAAGGTTTATTTTAACATAAACCACTGCACTAATGTTTCAGATGTTGAAAAGCTTCCCATACAGGAAGAAAGCTAAAAACACACAAATGACAGATATATTTGAACAATTATTGAACTGAATTCACAAACTTTGTTTTAGCAGGGAAAAAAACAAATCAGTTTTAAAGCCCCAACATAACCAGTGCTTAGTCTTTTTTGCAGCTATTTTTCTTTGTATGGTTTTCTTAGTATGTTTGATTTGGTGATAAGTGGAGGCGTTGCAGAGACAAGGGTTGAACTAAACTGAGAAATACCGGCTGTTTCTCTGTAACTCCATTTTGACGCTTTGTGTTTCGTGCTTCGCATTTGCGACTCCACTGCCTTAATTCCCATCGTTCTGAGCTTGAATGACTTCTAGCATAAATCCACTGAGCCTCATGTTTGTTCCCTGGTTTTAGCCATGGAGGAAACTCTTGGCTGGAGACAATTTTGGTTACATTCACACTTGCTCATATTTTCCAGACAAAAAGTTAAAGATGCATCTCCCAAATGTCCCGGCAGCAACAACTTTTATTGGTTCCGCTATCGGGACGGAACCAATAATGGCGAGCCTTTATTTATTTATTTTTTATTTTTTAAATTGTCAATTTTAATGTTTTATTTAAATTACAAAAATTAATCGTAATACAAATAATCCTATTTATGATGTTTTGAAAATTAAGACCTACGAAAGACTGATTTAAGACATTTTAATACCAATTAAGGCCTTAGTTTTATTTTGAAGAATTCAATTCCTTTTAAGGCATTTTAAGGACCCGTGGGAACCCTTTCATCAATGTAGAGATAGACATAGATAATGTAACCTGTGTGTTCTGTTATATGTTAGAAGGAATGTGAAATTCCGCCTTAACTGTTAGAATAGAATTCAACTTTATTGTCATTCCACTGTCACAAGTACAAAGCAACAAAATCCACTCTCTGCATTTAACCCATCCCCTTGGGGGTTAGTGGGCTGCCATTGTGAGGCACCCGGGGAGCAGGGTGGGGTTAAGGGTCTTGTTCAGGGACCCAGAGTGGCAGTCTATGGGAGTGGGGCTCGAACTCAGAACCTCTGGGATCCAAGCGTAATGCTCTAACCACTAAACTGTGCGGGTCAAAGATGACCTGTGAATTTCCTTCCACCATTTTCTGTTACCTTATTTGGATTTAGTTTCGATGCCGTGCAACTGATGCACACTAGAGATCCAGAGAGCTGTCCCAGAGGGCGAAGCAGTGAGATAAATACAGGAGAAAACCTAAGATTGCAGCCATTGCTGTTCATCAGAGCAGTGGTCAGGCCAAAAAAAAAAAAAAACTAGATGATCCTTTGCAATTTATGCTTATATCAGTGATAAAGGTAAAAATGACTGGAATAATTTCTGTTAAATCTAAAAGATGTTTTTATTGTATTATTTTGTCTTATGATTTTAACTCTCCTATCCTGTACAGTCTCTCATTTTTAAGTTTTCTTTTAATATTTATATGATTTTATATTTATTGATGTAAATCTACAGTATATGAATCTACGTGTCAACCCTTTGCTTTGTTGCTCTCTATTCTTTGTTTGCAGTCTACTCTATAAATTCTGACTTGCAGTGAGAGACCACTTCTTACAATCATTTCCTACTTAACATACAAACCTTTGGAATCTAAGAATCTCCAACAGAAAAGCAAGTTCTTAAAATTTTAAATTTACGAATTTACGTCATCAAGGCAAAAGAACAATGATCCATACCTCTGCAACCTGAGCACAATCTTTAGTTTGTTTATGGAGTAGAAACCAACTCTTCTCAAACCTAAAGAAACAATAAGGTTAGAACAGTTTCTTAGCATTAAAACATCCTTATTTTGTGCATTAAAAATGGAAAAAAAATAAAATTCTCAGAGTTAAGATCTTTCTATCCAGATGTAGATTTGTCCAAAAATAAGATTAATCCTTCATTAGCTAGAGTGTGCATCGTTCATGTGAAAGGTTGGCTAACACATAGTAAGCTGTATGAAATAGTGCTAGAACATTGTTGTGGAAACATTTATACATCCTAGTGTGCAGAAATTGGGGCTTTAAGTTCCAGCTGGATTTCCCTGTCCATGCCTATTATTACGTATACAAAGTACTAATAATACGGGGAAACTGACGTGGCGGCGGTCACTCCGATCAGAAATGGTAACAGTCTGTCCCAGCAGGTTTTTTTGCGCACCAGAAATACATCCTGGATGCCATTGATTCCTGTCTCTGAAGAACAACCATCCTTACTGATTTCTACATCAAAGTCAAAATAAATCCACTGGACTTTGATTCCAAAGTTTGAAGACGTTTCTCTTCCCATCCAGGAAGCTTTTTCAATTCAAAATGTCAGGAATATTTTTGAGTTCCAAGCTTTAATAGAGTAGCCCAACAAAGAAAACATGCACATTGAAGCTGGAAAACCATCAATGAGTCGATGCAATCAGCTGGTTTTCCTTAGATAGAAAACTTTGAATCAATCTGACTGGATGATCTGGTTGGACTGGAAAGTGACCTGAGATGACATGATGTGAATTGGAGCTATAGAAATAAACTGAACTGAATTGAATTTCACTGCTGATATTTTCCAGCTGTACCAAAGTGAGATCTGAACCCATTACGTCAAAAGCATCAGGTCAGGGAAGAACAAAAAAATATTGAAATGTTTACTAACCTGCTTAGAATGTCCAGCCCAGCACCTAAATACGGAAAACCTTCTTCCACCCTAAAGGAAAGATTGATATTATTTAAGTGTGATTTAATACAAACTCAGCATAACTTAACAGTACTCACATGTTGGTTACTCTGCCAGAGCTCATGGGTCTAGTAGGCCCATTTTAACACAATTCAACAGAAACAAAGCAACAATTACATCAAAATAATCTTGATACGAGTTAAAAAAACAATCGTCTAGACTTTGTTTCCAAGTCTGAAGACGTTTCTCTTCCATCCAGGAAGCTTTTTCAATCCAAAATGTCAGAAATAGTGTTGAGTTCCAGGTTTTATACCGCAGCCCAACAAAGTCTTGTTTATGTTTAGAAAACATGCAAACAAAAATGCTTCCTGGGTGGAAGAGAAACGTCTTCAGAATTGGAAAAAAAGTCCAGTGGATTTTTTTTTTTTTACTTTTTGGAATGACTACGACCTGGATGACTGAGAATCTTCACCAGCTTAATACAAGTTGTTTTTTTAAATGTGGTCTTACAGATCTTTAATTTTATCAGAGAATATTTCTCTTAAAGACCAATGATAGAAATTTTTTTATGTAGAAAATGTTGCTGCCGGTTTAAAGGGGAACACCAATTTTTATGTATGTGGATATGAATTATAATTATAAGGTGATAGAAAATATGTCAACTGTGATAGATAATGTGCTTGAATGTATAACAATAGAAATAAGTCGGACAAAAAAGAAAAATATCATTGTAAGCTGTATACAGGTGCTGGTCATAAAATTAGAATATCATGAAAAAGTAGATTGATTTCAGTAATTCCATTTAAAAAGTGAAACTTGTATATTATATTCATACATTACATACAAACTCATATATTTCAGATGTTTATTTTGTTTAATTTTGATGATTACAAATGACAACAAATGAAAATCTCAAATTCATCATATCAGAAAATTAGAATATTACTGAAGACCAATAAAAACAAAGGATTTATAGAAATGTTGGCCAACTGAAAAGTATGAACATGAAAAGTATGAGCATGTACAGCACTCAGTATTTAGTTGGGCCTCCTTTGGCCTGTATTACTGCAGCAATGCGGCGTGGCATGGAGTCGATCAGTCTGTGGCACTGCTCAGGTGTTATGATAGCCCAGGTTGCTCTAATAGTGGCTTTTAGCTCTTCTGAATTGTTGGGTCTGGTGTATTGCATCTTCTTCTTCACAATACCCCATAGATTTTCTATGGGGTTAAGGTCAGGAGAGTTTGCTGGCCAATTAAGAACAGGGATACCATGGTCCTTCAACCAGGTACTGGTAGCTTTGGCACTGTGTGCAGGTGCCAAGTCCTGTTGGAAAATGAAATCTGCATCTCCAAAAAGTTGGTCAGCTGCAGGAAGCATGAAGTGCTCTAAAACTTCCTGGTATGTGGCTGCGTTGACCCTGGACCTCAGAAAACACAATGGACCAACACCAGCAGATGACATGGCACCCCAAACCATCACTGACTGTGGAAACTTTACACTGGACTTCAAGCAACGTGGATGAAGTGCCTCTCTTCTTTTCCTCCAGACTCTGGGACCTTGATTTCCAAAGGAAATGCAAAATTTACTTTCATCAGAGAACATGACTTTGGACCACTCACCAGCAGTCCAGTCCTGTTTCTCTTTAGCCCAGGCAAGACGCTTCTGACGCTGTCTGTGGTTCAAGAGTGGCTTGACACAAGGAATGCGACAGCAGAAACCCATGTCTTTCATACGTCTGTGTGTGGTGGTTCTTGAAGCACTCACTCCAGCTGCAGTCCACTCTTTGTGAATCTCCCCCACATTTTTGAAGGGGTTTTGTTTCACAATCCTCTCCAGGGTGCGGTTATCTCTCTTGCTTGTACACTTTTTTCGACCACATCTTTTCCTTCCCTTCGCCTCTCTATTAATGTGCTTGGACACTGAGCTCTGTGAACAGCCAGCCTCTTTAGCGATGACCTTTTGTGTCTTGCCCTCCTTGTGCAAGGTGTCGATGGTCGTCTTTTGGACAACTGTCAAGTCAGCAGTCTTCCCCATGATTGTGTAGCCTATAGAACTAGACTGAAAGACCATTTAAAGGCTTTTGCAGGTGGTTTGAGTTAATTAGCTGATTAGAGTGTGGCACCAGGGGCCATCAATTTTGAACCTTTTCACAATATTCTAATTTTCTGATATGATGAATTTGAGATTTTCATTTGTTGTCATTTGTAATCATCAAAATTAAACAAAATAAACATCTGAAATATATGAGTTTGTATGTAATGTATGAATATAATATACAAGTTTCACTTTTTAAATGGAATTACTGAAATCAATCTACTTTTTCATGATATTCTAATTTTATGACCAGCACCTGTATATAGAACACCAGGTTCAAATATAGATACTTTAAAAAAACTGGATGGAAGATCACTACACAAGTGCAAACAATAAAGTCATGTTTATTGGTGGCGACTTTAATATAGATTTGATAAATCCAAATAAACATAAGATGACGGATGAATTTATAAATACAATGTATAGTATTGGGTTACATCCCAAGATTACCAGACCCAGCCGAATCACAACTCACTGCGCAACGTTAATTGATAATATATTTTCTAATGAAATGGATAATAATACAGTAAGCGGATTATTAGTAAATGATATCAGTGATCACCTTCCAGTCTTTACAATCTATAATGATGATCAAATTAAAAATAAACAGGGCAAGATAACACTGTACAGAAGGGTGAGGTCTGAAGAAACCATGGATGCATTCAAAAATTAGTTACTAAGACAAGATTGGGAGTTCTTGTATCAAGAAAATGATACTGATAAAGCATACAATGAATTTTTAAGAACATTTAAAATATTATATCATAAAAATTGTCCAATTAAACAATACTACAGAAAACAAAAGTATATGAATGATCAATGGATGTCAAAGGGACTGAGGAATGCTTGCAAAAAGAAAAATACACTATATAGAGAATTTATAAAACATAGAACTAAGGAAGCAGAAGATAAATACAAGAAGTATAGAAATAAGTTAACTAATATTATGAGGAACTGTAAGAAAGATTATTACAAGAAGTTACTGGATGAGAATAAGCACAATATAAAAGGTATATGGGATATTTTAAATAGTATAATTAGAAATAAAACTAGAAATATTAATTATCCACAGTATTTTATAGAAAATGAAAAAAATATAAATAACATAGATGATGCGGTTAACGAGTTTAATGAGTTTTTTGTAAATGTCGGACCAAAACTTGCAAATGAAATTGAAGATCCAGTGACATTCAATGAAGATAATCTAATAGATAGAAATCAAAGCACAATGTTCCTTAAACCTGTGGATGAGAAGGAAATCATAGATATTGTTAGCGAGTGTAAAAGCAAGACATCTACTGATTATGATGAAATAGATATGAAAATAATAAAAAAGGTTATTCATGGGATCTCCAAACCATTAATGTATATTTTTAATTTATCATTACAAACCGGTAAATTTCCCAATAATATGAAAATAGCTAAAGTTATTCCTGTGTACAAAACTGACGACAAGCATCATTTCACAAATTACAGACCGGTTTCTCTTCTCCCACAGTTTTCAAAAATTCTGGAAAAAGTTGTCAATTACAGGTTAGACAATTTCATAGAAAGACATAATTTACTCTCAGATAATCAATATGGATTCAGAAGAAATCGATCAACATCACAAGCATTAATTGAACTAATAGAAGAAACAACAAATTCCATAGATAGCAAGAAATATTCTGTTGGGGTTTTTATTGATCTAAAAAAAGCATTTGATACTATAAATCATGATATATTAATTAACAAATTAGAGCAATATGGGATCAGGGGACTGGCACTAGAGTGGGTAAGAAGTTATTTAAAAAACAGGAAGCAATTTGTGAAGATGGGAGCTCATCAGTCAAGATGTTTGGACATTGTGTGTGGTGTACCACAGGGGTCGGTCTTGAGTCCTAAATTATTCATCATGTACATTAATGACATATGTAAGATATCACAAAAACTCAAATTTATTTTATTTGCGGATGACACAAATATAATAGGATCAGGTGAGAATTTACAGCAACTTTTGGACACTATCGCCTCAGAATTCATTAATATTAAATACTGGCTAAATAAAAATAAACTGTCACTAAATTTGAGTAAAACAAAATATATGATATTTGGTAACAAAAAAATAAATCATCATGCACGGGTACAGATAGGAGGGGTTGATATAGAGAAAGTATATGAAACTAAATTTCTCGGGGTGATAATAAATGACAAGATTTGCTGGAAGTCTCATATTAAATACATCAGCACTAAAATATCTAAAAGCATCTCTGTAATAGCCAAAGTAAGATATTTTTTAGATTACAAATCACTCCATGCTCTGTTCTGTTCTTTGGTCTTACCTCATTTAATTTACTGTATAGAGGCATGGGGAAGCACATATAAAAGTTCACTAGAGCCACTGTTCATATTGCAAAAAAGAGCCATTAGAATAATTCATAAAGTTGGATATCGAGAACACACCAACACACTATTTATAATGTCTAAAATCATGAAGCTTTATGATATGATAGAATTCCAAACAGCACAATTTCTATTTAAAGCTAGAAATAAGCTATTACCAAGTCACTTGACAAATTTGTTTTATGAGAGAGAGGGGGGGTATGATTTAAGGGAGATAACTAATTTTAAGATTCAAAGATACAGAACTGCAAGGAAAAGATTTTGTATAACAAATAGTGGAGTGAGGCTATGGAACAGACTGAGCATGGATTTGAAGCAATGTCCAAACATCAACCAGTTTAAAAACAAATATAAACAAATGATTTTTATAAGATACAGGGAGGAGGGGACTTGAGGGGGAATAGAACTTGCTCTGCCACTATGAATTAAAATCGATAAGAAGTCAAGAGAGATGAAATAATAAAAAATTAAAAAAAAGGGTGAGAGAAAAGGGTTTTTGGTTTATGGATATGTATGGATATATGTGTACGTATATGTAGATAGAGATATGTGTATACTGTCTATAGTAATTGGGGTGTGTATGTATATGCATGTATGTGTGTATGTGTTTGAGATACGGGTGTATGTGTAAGTATGCATGTGTGTATATGTATGTATAGGTATCTGAGTATGTGTATGTATATATATATATATGTATGTGTGTGTGTGTGTGTGTGTGTGTGTGTGTATATATAGATATGTATGTATGCTTAAACATAGGTAGATGTTAATATAGAACAGGGGTAGGATTTAATAAGTTTTATTACTTCTTCCTACTCCTTTTCGAACATGATGGGATGTACATATGTTTTTTTCTTTCTTTTTCTTCTTTTTTGTTTGTTTTGTTTTGTATGACTTTAATAATTTACTTATATTTGCTTTTTATTAAGTGTTCGAAATAAATGATCAAATAAAATAAAAAAATTTCGGTCATATTAACAGAACAAGCCGGCCTCCTTTCTGCGGTCAGCTACAATTTGGGAGAGGAGCAGCGGAGTGTCTGCGGAGGCGGCGGGACTAGGGATGGGAATCGAAAACCGGTTCCTGTTCAGAACCGGTTCCGTATTTTCCGATTCCATGGCATCGTTTGGCAGCTCACTGAACGATTCTTTTTTCGATTCCCGCAGCACCAGAGCCTAGAGCGCCGGCTCTGGGGAGCACGACTTACGTCACGTTTTTTACGTAAGTTACGTAAGTTACGCAAGTTACGCAAGTTGGAAGAACTATTCGAGGAGGAAGACAACGAGCTGCGGTCACTTTGTGAATCAAAGCCCCGTCTTTCCTTAGCCCAGAGGGTAGATCAGGAAATCCAGCTCTATAAAAGCTTGCCCTCCATCCCCTGCAGGGATAGCGCCACACTGTGGTGGTGGAACAAGCAAGATGTGCTGCCCTTGCTATCTGACTGGCTGAAAACTACCTCTGTGTGCAGGCTTCCTCCACCCCATCTGAGAGGGTGTTCTCCACGGCTGGAGACACCATACGCGCTGAAAGATCCTGTATCCTTCCAGAAAAAGCAGATATGCTCATCTTTCTGCAAAATAACTGTTAATTTTCCCTACTACTCTTTTATAATTAGTATTTTTTGTTATTTAAAATAGGTTATTATCCCATCATTTGTTATTAGACATTGTTGGTTATTAAGTTTGTTCTTGTATATTTATTTTTCATTTAAACACAGATGTTACTCCAGTTTCACATTTCCTGTGGACATCTTGATCTTGTTGAGTTTGTAAGATTGTGCAATAGTTAAGTAAACAAAGTTGATGCTGATAATCAAACTGTTTGTTCTCCTTTTTCCCCCAAATTGGAATCGAAAAAAGAATCGATAAAGAATCGAATCATTTCATAGAATCGAAAAGGGAATCGGAATCGTGAAAATCTTTTCAATTCCCAACCCTAGGCGGGACGTCTGGAGCCGAGGTATTGAATTGCACTCATTGCACTGATTTTCTTCAGTATTTTTTGATGCAACTTTTCTACTTCTGTTATTTGCTGTTGTTTCAAAAAAAATGCATAACGATAGATATATATATATATATATATATATATATATATATATATATATCAAACTTGAAACTTTGTTTGGCCTGTAAGGTGTAAAAAAAAAAAAAAAAAAAAAAATTAATCGAATCGTGGTGTATTCTTGAGTATCGAAAATAATCAAATCGTTGGGTCAGGAAATCGATACTGAATCGAATCACCATGATGGATGTGATTTACACCCCTACGTCATACACACTCCGAATGACACAAAACTCATATGGGTGAGTAGAACATGATGTAATAACGTAAAATCAAGGAACCAGTGTAAAAAAAAAAAATTGGCGTTCCCCTTTAACCTGATAAGCAACTGAATCCAGATTTATGTTGTTCACAGAAAATGAACTAAGCCTAAAAAGTGTTTGAAAAATAATCCCTTCTATTATTTTTACTTTAATAAAAACAGAGAACTCTTCCACAGATGTAAACAACATGCAAGTGTTAAAGGAGATCACAGCAGTTAAAGCCAAACAATGTATCAGTGGATTTATTGGGTGTTTGACCAAAAGAATTGGCCTTATGCAACATGCTTTCTTGTCCTACATTTCTCTTCCTTTTTCTCCTGGGCTCCTATGACTGTCACATCAGATTCAACAGACATCAATAAATGATCGCAAATTATTGCAGCGTAAATGATGAATTCCGTCTGTGCGTGAGTGTGCCTTTATGAGAATTGCAAATCTGCATAACTGATGATTCCATATGAGCCTACAGAACTTTTAAGACCATGTTCATTCATAGAAATGGCATTACAGACAAAGAAAAGAGTCTTTAGCAGTACGAGTACGTCCTATGCCAGGTCAGTTATCTGATGGTTGACATCCGCTCAGTCTCAGTTCCTCATCAGTCGTGGCGTCTAGCTGATCCTAAACCTCTGAGTAACGTGTGCATAACTTCTGCGTAACTTATCCAGAACTTCTCTCCAACATATCAGCGTATCTGCCGTGTTCCAGACGAGCGCTGAACGTGTTTCTAACTTCCAGCTACTGTATAATGACGTATTGGCAGCGTTTTGGTATAAAGGGGGTTCACAGGAGGAAACCGTCAGTTCTCCTCCAGACTTCATCCCCATCATAGGGTGAGCCAGAAGGTGAGTGATGGATCCTCCCTGCGTTCACGCCCACCACCAACACACTTCCTAGAAGACGTGACGCTCAATCTGCTGCCACTGCAAAACTTCTTTCTTTCTTTTCTTTATTATTATATTGTTGGGCAGACGGTAAACAGCAGCAAGGTTAATACCGCGATCAAATACATATTTTTTTTATGTATGCTGGGCACATCGCTCCTGCAGCAGCTTTAACTGATGCTTCGTAATACCCATGAAAGAATGCACAAGCATCCTTTCATGGGTATTACGTTCATGTGCGTTATGCAGAAGTTAAGCTGTCGTTGGACATAATCTCTGGACTCATTATGAATACTCTATGCATATGTCCAAAATTGAAAAAATACATAGAAAGTTCACCATGATGAGCCAGGGGCATCAGGGAAGCAAGTTAAGGCTTTTACTAATGGAAGGTTGCAAAACAGACCGACAGTAATGAATAAACACAAAAACTCTTCAGTTAAATTCATTCATTTTAGCATTTTTGAATAAATGTTGCGATTTTGTGAAACTTATTTCTTACTGGGGATTTATTTTCCCAGCTAGATCCTCCAATAAATATTTGATAAAGAAAGACCATTATTTTCTTTGTTCTAACTAGATTATTCTAATAAAAAAAATTATAATTCCATTATTAAAATACTCTTTGAAGTAAGCAGCTAATTAAAATCAAACTCATTTTGAAGGTGAGCAAATCAAAGCAATATGGTAGTGATCAAAATCAACTACATGCTCAGAAATACACAGTTTAAGTCTCACCTTGATTTCCTCTTGATTTTGGTGTCTTTTGATTTGTCTCCTAAGGTCTTGAAGCTGAAACAAAGAGAGCGAAGTTAGGGACGGGGCCGATCAGATAGAGTATAAAGATCAGCTTCTATCAGTATCATTTACACATAAGAAATGTCTGATTCAGTCTGATCCACGAAATGTCTACAAATCTACAAGCTACAAAAACTCTACAAAAATGCCATATCTAAGATTATTAAGGTGTGCAGTAAGATCACGGGTGTTCAACAGAAAAACATGACTGAAATGCATGAAGAGCAGGTAATCAGGAAGGCTGAGTCCATCTTGGATAATTATACCCATCCCCTAAATAACCAATTCTAGTTTCTACCCTCTGGTTCCCGTTTTAAATATCCACCAGCTCGGACCAATAGATACAAACACTCCTTTATTCCCTCTGCTGTTCAGCTGCTAAACTCTACCAGGAAAAGCAGATAGTCATATGTTTCCTGCATATAGGCCTATGCTCTCATTCGTCCCCTGCACTGCACATTTTTTTCTCTCTTTTATTCACCTTACTTTTATCTTTTAAAATATTTTGTGTTTCTTTTATTTTTTATTTGTGAAATGTGAACGTGTGTGTGAAAGGTGTACTACTACTGCACAAAAATTGCCCATACGGGGGCAAATAAAAGCTACTGAACCGAGCTGAACGAACCATTCCTGTGCTTTAATATCGTCCAGCATAACGACACATGCATTCACTGCTGCCCTGCATGCTGGACACAAACTGTTACATGGATTTCCTGAACAAATGTCACATTTCCATTTCTACATCTCCGCTGTGTGGAAATATTTTACACTTAAAAAAAAAAACTAATTGAAAAGCAACACAGCAACACGCTATGTTTACAGATCTGTTCTACATAGAAGCTGTGTTGCTTCTTACAGTTAAACATTTGAAGTAGAACCACATTATGGAGAATGAGGAATATTTATTCAAAGAGCAGAAAGAGGAAAGTCGCTAGCAGGAATAATCTCTAGTCTTTCCAAAAAGGCTAAATTTCCACCAGACTATGTGAAAGCTAAAGGGATTACTAGTAGATATGTTCCAACACCTGGATCAGATTGATTCGTTAGTTGGATCAGATATTAGTTTAATAAAAACAAATTTATAAAATGATATCATTTTGTATTTATTTTGATTCCTTACTAACTTCCAGTCAACATATGTATGGTTTTTTTTTTTTGATTTTGAGATGGAGAGCATAAAATGATAGAAATGAAATTCTCAAATTAAAAGATTAAATAAAACTGTCTTTATTTTTATAATTAGTTGTTGTACGTTCCACTTTTTTAAAAGTCATTAATACCTCTTACTGAGGGGTGGAGCGTTCAAAAAAAATAATAAGTTGAGACAGAAGTCAAAAGAGGTTGGGAACCACTGCTCTAAAGAACCTGACTGAACAGTGAGGAGGATATTCAGCCTTTAATTCAGTGAGTAGCAGCAGAGACTCTAAACGATGCTGGAAAGATGCTTAAACCTTTTAAATGTTTAAATACCGGTCACTGCTCTATACTATTAAAGGAACATTTTCTACAATTCTGGATGGTAACTTCCTTAGACTTAATTTTCTTTGCTTTATAACTAATGGTAACAGTGTCATATTTAACTGTACATCTTCTTTAAAAACTATTTATTTTGTCATTGGGAGAACAACAAGTTGGGGCAGCACCGAGTCCAACCACAAAGAAATTCATTTTCTGGATAAAACTAACTATTCTGATGGTTTTAATCTTTTTAAATATCAACAGGCCAAATAAGAATGAGCTTAAGTGAAACAAAACTAATGGGTCTATTTTTAAAATGCAAGGAGAAGTAAAAAGTTGTGTAAACAAATAATTAGAGATAGCCAACATTTCTACAGTAAGGTAATGAAGTATTTCTACTTGGTTACTAACAGATAATATGATAACTCGTGTTTGGAAGCGACTTAACTGGAAAGATTAGATCGATTAAGAAATGCACCAAACAGGACAAACATTATTTTATTTATTTATTTTTATTTATATTTTGCAAAGGGTGACATCATCTCATCATCTGACGCGTCACATGATCCTCAGCTGAGACCAATAACTACAGAATGCGACCAAAACACGGATATTACACTGATTTAGACTCCAAAACGACATTGATCATCACTAAAATTATTCACTAAATAATAATAATCCAGTGAGATAGACGCATGCAGTAGAGCTGTCACTTTAGCTTATGTGCTAACTAAAAACAACACTGTAGATATCTGTAGCTTTTTCTACACTAATAAGGCCAAATATACAAAACACAGTTATTGCTAAGATTAAGAAAGTGACCTACCTTGTTGAGAAGTCATGCTGTACCATGTGGAGTCTTTCTCTAAAGTTCTCAAACATTTTTAGCGAATTTCAGTGTAAACTGTTCCTGTGAGAAAGCTTGACTAAGCTAACAGCTCTGTAGCTAAAGCTTCTTCTCTTCCTTTTGTCTACCTTCTGTAACCGAACAGACACGCCACTGCCATCTGGTGGAAGACTGCCGCATCGACCAGACAGCGTCGCTCTTTTTTCTTTTGATAAGAATTAAGCACATCGGTAAACAGCTAGAAAATTATAAGGATGATAAAAAGCAACAGTGTAAAAGGAAAAGACATAAGTACGTTACATATTTAAGATAAAAGAAAATAGATTAAATAACATTTATATGATTAAATCTGAAAAGACTCTCTTGTGGAAAGACAAATTAATCTATACACTTTTGCTTAATTTTTGCTACTTTTACGATGCGCCTAAGATGTAGAAAAGCTTAAAAACACTGAATTGAGTGTGATGCACTCAAATATAAGTGCAAATATAAAGATATGTCAAATAGAACAAAAGCCAAATGAAAATTGGTGTTAGTTTACAGGTAATTTGCTTCCTTTTTAAATTAAGATAGTGTTTTTAACATTCTTAGAGATCAACCTTTGAAATGTTTAAACCTCACAGTTGTCTCATTTTTACCTCGCTTACATTGGCGGGTGCATACAGTAAGCCATTATCTTATTAGAGGCAGATGAAATGAAATAGAATAGATTACTGATTGATTGATTGATTGATTGATTGATTGATTGATTGATTGATTGATTGATTGATTGATTGATTGATTGATTGATTGATTGATTGATTGATTGATTGATTGATTGATTGATTGATTGATTGATTGATTGATCTCACAGTATAGAAATGTACTCGTTCCATCAGCTCAATTAGTCAAAGAAGAAGAATGTGCCAAAGGAAGAAAAAGGTACATGGGGTATATACAGTCCATCCACATATGACAGCTTTTTTTTAATAATAGGATTATTATACTGGGTTATTGCACAGGGTGTTTACATGGGTATTTATATAGATGGATATGCTGATAAAGATTCTCAGTCATAGTCATTCCGTAAAAGTTTAAAAAACAAATCACTGGACTTGTTTCAAAGGTTTGAAGATGTTTCGCTTGTCCTCCACGAAGCTTTCTCAATTCAAATATCTGAGGGGAGGGGAAGCAAAACGTCTTTAAACCTTGGAAACCATATCCAGTGATTTGTGCTTTAAACTTGGAATGGAATATATAGATGGATATTTATATTCTATTAGCACTGGGTGTCAAATATAGAGAAACAGCATATTGCACAGGGTATTTATTAAGCAACTGCACATTATACATTGCTTAGGTTATTACTGTTGTAGTGTGTGCTTTTGTAAAGTCTGGTTGCAGCAGGAATGAATGACCTGCGGTAGCCCTCCTTTTGTAAAAGTCTTTCACTAAAGGAGTTGCTCAGTCCTCTACAGTCTGGTGCAGAGGGTGGAAGGTGTTGGATGTAAGCTTGGACAGCACCCTCCTCTCAAAGCAACAAAATTCCCTCTGCATTTAACCCATCCCCTTGGGGAGCAGTGGGCTGCCGTTGTGTGGCACCCAGGGAGCAGTGCCGGGTTAAGGGTCTTACTCAGGGACCCAGAGTGGCAGTCTGTGGGAGTGGGGCTTGAACTCAGAGCCTCTGGGAACCACTACTCCCCTCATGGTGAAATGGGACAGGCAAAAGAATTATTACTTGAAAAAGGCCTTCCCACATTCCAGTTCAGACTTGGGTATCAATGCTAAAACTAGTTATTTATGCTTTACATCAGAAAAATGAGTTCTTGAATATCCCCTACTAAGGCATCCTACTGAGGTATAATATAAAATCATTCTGTAGCTCATTCATCTTTAGTGTTGGGCAAGGTCTTTAATGCATGGGAGCTTTTAGTTTTATCAAAATAAAAGTTTCATTATGATCCACTGGTTTATGAACTATAGTCCATCCAATCATCCATCCATCCATCTATTTTCCTTCATCCGGGGTGTGAGGGCTGATGGTGCCTATATCCAGCTGTCTAGAGGCGAGAGGTGGGGTCCACCCTGGACAGGTCTCCAGTCCATCTCAGGGCAACACAGAGACAAACAGGACAAACAACCATTCACTCACACACACTCACAATTTTCATGTATATATTAAAAAACTAGAAGGTGTTAGCTTTCAAATAATGTATCACACATGTAATTTTCGCTTACAGTTCCTAAGTTATTTGCTTTTTCATTTGGGTATACAAAATAGGCGAGAATTTCCCAATATGAGGTGGATGTTAAGATTAGAGAAGCCAATTAACCTAACAGTCATGTTTTTGGACTGTGGGAGGAAGCCGGAGTACCCAGAGAGAACCCATGCATACCCAGGGAGAACATGCAAACTCCATCCAGAAAGGCCCTGCGCCGGGAATCCCTAAAACATCTTGGGGTGGCACACTGAAACTAAAAGTCATAATTTCAGGGTTTGAATCTACTATTCTGGTAAATCTGTCTGTAGAAATCATAAAGACTTAAGTAAGCACTTGCTGATATCTTGGTTTATTATGTGATTTTTTTATTTGACGTTGCTGGCTGTGAGTAATGGGATGAAATGCTAACCTGATGCTACTTCAATTTACACTGGCCAGTGGGGGGACCAGTGGGGTGGCATGGCCAATGCACAGGGTGGCCGTGGCCGCCCCTGGTGTGACCATTGCCTGCAGCTTCCTTGTGTAGTTTGGATCTGTTGGTACAAGTTCTGCTTCATTTTATGTTGGAAAAAATACCAAAGTCATTTGCACTGAAATGAATAGCTTTGACTTATAGAGGAGGTAGAAATTGAAAAATGGAACATTGTAGCCATGTTCCAGGACAAGAAAAACTTCTTACCTTTCACCTGGAGGAACGTCCAGCATCAACAAGCCGTAAGCAGGTGGCAGCGTATGCTTATTAATATCATTTACACTGTCTGAGTGAAAAACAGCTGATTTAAATAAATCACTAACCATCTAGTGACATCTCTGACTAGGGTTGTATTTTGCCATCAAATGTATCTGCTGTGTCGAATTAAAAATCCATCTGGAAACAAAAGAACCTTGGAGATTCTACCCGTTACCTGTTTTTTCAGAACTTTGTTGCTGTGTGCATAAAGGACCCCATGTAGGGGGTCAGTATTATTTAGGAAAATGATACCGCTCTTTTACAGTACACCAATAACCCTGTAATAACATGGTAATAACATAGCAAGTCATAGTACTTGGTAACAACAAAACTTTTTTTTGTAATTACCCCAAGATTAAGGTATATAATTTCAAAATAACCTATAATTGCGTGTGTCTAAGTATCATTGTAATTTCCACATAACAGCTTCTATTACTGGCCCCCACCTACATACGGCTTACAAAGTAAATTGGAACTTATAATCTGGTAAATAAAGCTTTATAAAACCAAACTCCAGTTACATGTAAATAAGATTTTAGTTAAGAAGACTGGCTTGCTGTCTTCTGGGTTAGATTTTCTGTTACATACCAAGCAATAAACTGCATTTTACCAGATAGTAACACATCAATTTATAGCTGTCTGTGATGCGAAATTAATATGAGTTACCCTGTAATAGCGGTTTGAAATCAACGAAGTCTAACTTTACCTCGTCTGCCTAAAATTTGAAGCGGAGCACTTACCAAAATGTTCCATAAAGTTTTTCTTGTTACCTAGTAATATAGTGTCATTTGCTGCACTATTACTGTGTTATTACATAGTTGTTGATGTACTATAAAAGAAAACATTACCAAGAAAATGTGGAATATGGCAGTTTAATAAAAAGGTTAATTAGGGTTGTCCAAAGCCTCCTGAAGTGTTGCTTTCTATTTCACTGACTCTGTTATCCCAGTCGATTATGGCAGACCCCATCAATGTCTTACCTACATAGTTATAGAAGACAACTAGAAATGTCTGCAAACGCAGAAGGATGTAAAAGTTCTTAATATAGCTCTTTAGAAACACAGTCTAGCAGTTTAGTAGGTGACTCCACTGGTGTGTCTCCTCTCCTAGTGTCTAGTGGACATGTCAGATGTTAGTGTTTGACTTATTCCAGCTTCACCTGATATCTACTCTATATTTCTTTGTTTCTATCACATTGAAGATAAGATCAGCCATGTTTATTGGCTCCTTATCATATATGTTTCAGAAAAGAAACTGCTTTGCACTTTTGAAAAACTTCAAATAACAATCAGTCCAGTAGAGTGATGTCATTATGAATCAATCCATCCAGGTTTTACAAATCCCAAATCAGGTTTAAAAGATTCTTCTATTATTTTAAAACAATATAGTTTAGACTCAGAAATCTTAACAGTGTGGTTCTTTAACAGAACCAAATTAGTGTGAGAAAACAGGTGGAAAACCTCTTTAGCTCTTTTGTGAATTAGAAGCTACAACCAGATGCTACCTTCAGCTCAGTGGAAAAAACTATGATTTTGGTGAATTGGTCTGTTTTTACACAGAAGTGGAAGGCTAATTTTGAAAAAGAGTAAATGTTTCAGTTGGACATTTTAGCATCAATCTGCCTGTGTGGGCAGACTTGTGAGACATTGATGACACTGTAGCAGCATGTTAAAGAGGCTGACATCAGAGTTGTCTAGGAGACACGGTTTCCTTTGCAACTGAAGGAGTACTCAGAGGTTCATCAAGTTATGGGTCTGATTATAATTCTTTGAGGGTAATTGGAGCCATGAAATTATTATTTCCAGTTGAAGGAACGACCAACATGAAGATACAAGTGACAACAGATGATTAGGAGAAAATAAAATGTACAAATTAGAGGAGAGATATAAAACATAGAGAACTTGACAATCAGAATAGGAAGTAAGATCAAAAGAACAAAATGTAAACAAAAACAGCAAAGAGAATTAAAATTAGGGAGCAGAAACACAGATGTGTGGAAAAAAGGCTTGGCCAAACATAGGTGAGCGATGAGGAGAAGCTATGGAACAGGTAAGACAGATAAAGGGAGGGAGAACTAATGCCAGTATTACTCTGGTGGATTTTTGAATACCATATTCTATGACCCTCATTCAACATAAATCAAATAGGTTTATATAGGTGAAACAAATTATATCTATAAAATGAAACGGCCTCTAGTTTTTTCTATGTACCCTGGACAGCTGCAGTACATTGGGTCGCCTCCAGCAGCCTGGATTAAAATCTGTGTTTATATTAGAACAGTTTTGTTAGATTTTTATATATTCAGATGAAATTACAACCTTTAAAAGACATCTATGAATCTGGATCATTCTCATGAGCAGCCTGAAGCAGTCATTAGATTAATGAAAAATTTGTTCTCAGGGCCAGCATAGAAAGAATCTGTCCTTTAATAACGTCATAATGAAACCTAATAGGAATATATTTTCACAATCCTAAACCTATGTTCTATTAATGTTTACAGAAATACTGTCAGAGTCTTGGTCTGTTTGTTCCTGTTTTTCTTGGTTATCCATTTGTTGTCCTCTGCTGCCCTCTTGTGTCCTCCCTTGCTCTGTTTTTCTGTCCTGCCTGCACCTGTTTTCAATTCCCTCGTCAGGTCTCTCTTTGTCTCTGTCCCCTTTAAAAGCCCTCCCTCTTCAGTTCCTGTTTGCTGGATCCTCGTCTAACATCTCGTCGAACTTTTGTCTGTGTACCTCGTCTCTCCCTGGCTCCTAGTTTGGGTTTACCCCTGATGTCTCCTTGGTTCGGGTGCGTTTGCTGTTTTCTGTTGGACTCTGATTCCTGCCCCTGGATCTGTGAACTTTAATAAACTGACTTTAATTCACCTCTGCCTACTGGTCTCTGCATTTGGGTCCTCCAAACAAACACTGCTTCATGACAAATACAGCTGTTTTTGTTTTAAATAAGCTGTTATTATTTTGATGGGATGTAAAGTTTAAAGTTAAAAAGGTATTGTGGAGGATTTTCTCAAATTTTTTAAAAGAAGTGCGAGAGCGTGCACGAGCCCATTTCTCCTCGCTCTGTTTAAAAGTTCATCAATCACTATATAGAGTGGGGACTATATAGTGGGGCTGCTCAGTGGGTAGAATTGCTGCCTTGCAGCAAGAAGGTTCCGGGTTCCATTCCCGGCCTGGTGTCTTTCTGGATGGAGTTTGCATGGGTTCTCTCTGGGTACTCCGGCTTCCTCCCACAGTCCAAAAACATGACTGTTAGGTTAATTGGCTTCTCTAATCTTAACATCCACCTCATATTGGGAAATTCTCGCCTATTTTGCATACCCAAATGAAAAAGCAAATAACTTAGGAACTGTAAGCCAATATTACATGTGTGTTACATTATTTGAATGGTAACACCTTCTAGTTTCTGAATATATACATGAAAATTGGTTGAGTAAAACACAGCCCAAGCTGCATCAGCTCAAACATGACTCAAAGTTGGGGGTTTTTATTCTCGAAAAAATGTTTTGAACAGCAGCAATAAAGACACGCTTGCTTGTTGTGGCTTCATTGTCATGTTTACATTTTGACATGCTGCTATATCTGTGTTAATTGTGCTTTGGTGCTCGCTCTGTCCATAAATTTAACTTGATGGTTGAATTGTGGAGAATCTAAGCTTTCCAACAATGTCTAACATGTCTAAATTGGTAAGCATTTTACCACTGGAATTCTCATGCATTCTAATTAATAAGTTTTAAATGCTTTAAACGCTTTTGAGAGGCCAAACTCTCCTTAGGTGTGAGAGTGTGTGAATGGTTGTTTGTCCTGTTTGTCTCTGTGTTGTCCTGCGATGGACTGGAGACCTGTCCAGGGTGGACCCCGCCTCTCGCTCATAGACAGCTGGAGATAGGCACCAGCACCCCTCGTGACCCCGATTGGTACAAGCATGACGGAAACTGGATAAATGGAAACAAATGATGAACTACATTAAAAATAGAGAACATCAACAACAGGAAAATGAAGAAAACAAAGATAAAATTCTAAACTCAAATATCCAAGAATCCTAGCAGAGCTTTTCTGGAAAAGAGCTTAACAAAAAACTGCCCTGCAATAATAAGTGTTAGCTAAACGTAATCCAGCACTATTAAAAAACTAAATAAAACCAATCTCAAAAGAAAAGAGTCAGCATGTCTTCTGAAAGATTAATCACTGTTCTTCCTCCCTCAGGAGAGTTCAGGATGAAGTGATATGTGAATGAACGCATCTGCTCCCCATGCCTGTTACCCTACCCACACACACACACACACACACACGTTGTGTCACAATATCCTTGTGGGGACCTTCCATTGACTTCCATTCATTTCCCACTAATTTATATGGCCTAACCGTGACCCTTGCCCTAACCCTAACCATTACCGACACATACCTATCCCTCAGCCTAACCTAAACTCAATTCACACCTTAGTCCTAAACCTAACCCCCACCCCAAGAAGAGAAACTTTCCTTATGGGGACCAGTTGTTGGTCCCCACAAGTACCTATGAGTCCCCAAAATGTAGCATATTCCTAGGAAATTGTCCCCACCAGGTATCAAAGACATGGCCACATATGACACACATCCACACCCACCCACCCACACACAGGGCACTGGGCCAACCATGGATATCTGAGCTCTACTGCTTTATTATACACTTTTAAGCAATCAAGCATAAACACACTGACTTCTTCACATGACCCAACACGCTGTGCTGACCGAATAGCTAAAAATAGTTGTCGGGACTCTGCTGACATATAATTAGATGCAGGTTTTAGATGATACATATATTCTCCATAGACACACATTTTATTGTTTCGTCTTCTTAGTAAAAACTGGCTGCTTGTTCCTTCACACCTTACGACCCATCGGAAGACAGACCTTATTAAAATGTTCCTGAGCTAATTTCCTGCGTCTGACATGTTGTGAAATGCACCCAGGAGTGTTAAGTCCTTCTTCTGTGCCCCAGATACATCAGCCATATCCCTTTCTCTCTTCCAGCAAATAGTCAAGGTCACCTTCCCTCGGTGCACTGCTTCTTCTCTGGTTAAGAACTGAATCCGTTTCCCCCTGAAGTAACACCCAAAAGTACCTGATTGTGATGGACCGAGTTAAAAAAAACAGGAGGAGTCACAGGATATTAGAAAAATAGGGTTTTTTATTTTAACCCAAAAAATAGATGACAAAAGATAAACTGAGCTCATAAAAGAGGTCAAAGGAACAAAACTGAACTCAGGCAAAAATGTAAACAAACTGGCTGTACAAACAAACATAACTGACCTACAAAGAAATGACAGACAGGGGTATATATACTGGCTGATCAGACCAATTTAGACACAATAGGGGTAACTAAACAGAATACAATTACAAACAAAACAAATAACAGTACGGCTAAGTTTGACTAAACTAAAGACTCACAAAATGAAAATCAAAACCATTAAAGTCCAAATACCAATATTCACCTAAATGCAAAAACTCATCTAAAGAAAGAAACTACACATTCCCCCGCCAGCAAGGACCAGTGGTGCAGTCCAATCAGCATCCAAATTTGCTGAGCCCTGGCCCCCCATCTTTTGTCAACTTCAGAGTGTGGCCATGGATTTGGCCATCACACACTCCCCCACTTCCTGATCTTCCCTCTGGCACCGAGAAAGGTAATCAGCAGTGGTGTTGTCCTTGCCGGGGATGTAGTGAACCTTAAACCGAAATGGCTGCATAGCAAGGTACCATCTGGTGATTCTCCCATTAGTGTCCTTCATTCTTTCTAGCCACTGGAGGGCTCTGTGATCAGTCTGAAGTGTGAATTCTCTTCCTAGCAAATAATATTTGAATGAGTCAAGGGCCCATTTAATAGCCAAGGCTTCCTTCTCCACGGTTGCATAGCGCCCCTCTCTTGGCAGCAGCTTGCGGCTGATGTAGGCAACTGGATGTTGGTCCTCCAGTGGTCCCTGCAGAAGCACTGCCCCAAGGCCTCTTTCAGAAGCATCAGTCTGCAACACAAAGTCTTTTGCAAAATCAGGTTAGTGCAAAACTGGATTCTTACTCAGAGATTGGCTAATGTCCTTAAATGCTGCAATAGCCTCTGCTGTCCACTGAATTTTAGTGGGACTTCTGGAGCCCGTCATGTCTGTTAGGAATGCTGCTCTAGCTGAAAAATTAGGAATGAATCTGTGGTAGAATGCAGCCATGCCAAGAAAAGACCGCAGCTGTTTCCTGGTTTGTGGGAGCGGACAGGATGCTATCGCATTGATTTTATCAACTTGAGGTTTCAGAGTACCACCTCCAATGGTGTACCCCAGGTACTGTATTTCTGTCCTGGCAAGAGCACACTTTGCTGGATTGATGGTAAGGCCTGCTAAACGCAGCCGATCCAGGACCTCCTTTAGATGGTGAACATGCTCTTCCCAAGTTGCACTGAAAACCACAAAATCATCAAGGTATGCACAGGTGAATGCTGAGAGCCCAGAGAGTACCTGATCCATTAGTCTTTGAAATGTTGCTGGGGCCCCATGGAGACCGAATGGCAGGACTGTGAACTCGAACAATCCCCAGGGGGTGCGAAACGCTGTCAGCTCCTGGGACTGTTTAGTGAGAGGCACCTGCCAGTACCCCTTAGACAGATCAATAGTTGTTAAGTATCTTGCTGCCCCCAGGTGCTCAATGAGGTCATCAATACGTGGCATTGGGTAAGAGTCAAATTTTGATATAGAGTTGAGGTACCTGAAGTCAATGCAAAATCTTATTTTGCCATCCTTTTTCGAAACCAACACAACAGGGTTGCACCACTCACTTGTTGAAGGTTGGATGATTCCTAGAGACAGCATGAGGTCCATCTCCTCCTTCAGCTCCACCCGGAAGCGTTCGGGTATCCTGTAACTCATACGCTTTATGGCAGCATCTGGTTTTAAAACAATGCTGTGCTCCACCAGAGTGGTGCGACCTCGACACTCTTGAAATATGTCAGAAGTAATAAGAGGTGTTACCTGAGACTGTTGCTCGCTGGTGAGATGGCTTAGGTCCAGCACAGAGGATGTTACTGAGGGCAAATAGTCATTAACTTCTTCCTCCTCCTCCACTCTGTGAATAAGCAACACCTCACTCTCATTCTCCTTCCTTGGAACCCACTCCTTGAGAAGGTTAACATGGAGCACTCGACTCCCTCGCTGGAGACCTGGTGTAGAGACTTGATAGGTAGTAGGTCCAGTTTTCCTCAGTACTTCAAAGGGTCCCTGCCATTTTGCTAACAACTTGCTGTCAGAAGTTGGCAACATTACCAAAACCTTCTGGCCAGGAGCAAAACTTCTGTGGCGAGCTTTCTTGTCAAACCAAACCTTTTGGTGTTTCTGAGCAGCTGCCATGTGACTCTGAGCCAACTCACTCATTTGCTGCAGTTTATCCCTCATATGGAGAACAAATGAAATAATGTTGACTGGATCCTCTTTACTCTGATCTCCCTCCCATGCATCTCTCAGCAGGGTCAGAGGGCCCCTCACATCATGGCCATAGAGGAGCTCAAATGGGGAGAAACCAGTGGAAGCCTGAGGAACCTCCCTGTAGGCAAAAAGGAGGTATGGCAACCACTGGTCCCAATCAGAGCCTGTATCATTCACAAACTTACGTAGCATTTGTTTGAGAGTTTGGTTAAAACGCTCCGTCAGGCCATCCGTCTGTGGGTGGTATGGTGTTGTCCTCATGCTCCTGATGCCCAACAGCTTATAGACCTGTTTCAAGAGTGTGGACATAAAGTTAGTGCCCTGATCGGTTAAAATCTCCTGTGGAAATCCAACCCTCGAGAAAAATTGAACCAGTGAGGAAGCCACATGTTTTGCTTTAACAGTCTTTAGTGGAAAAACTTCAGGATATCTTGTTGCATAGTCTGTGATGACAAGCATGAAGCGATTTCCAGATTTACTTTTTTTCCACCGGGCCCACTACATCCATCCCAAGGCGTAGAAAAGGTGTGCCAATAATGGGAAGGGGTTGAAGTGGTGCTTTGCTAGGGACTCTCATTGAGGTTTTCTGACACTCAGGGCAGCTTCTGCAAAATAAAGCAACATCTGATCTTAAACCAGGCCAGAAAAAATATCGCTTGATGCGAGCAGTGGTCTTATACTTCCCAAGGTGGCCAGCCCAGGGAATAGAGTGTGCCAAAGTCAGCACTGTTTCACGAGCCTCCTTAGGGACAACTAACTGCTTTAACTGGCCATGTTGATATAAAATGCCATCTTGCAGTATATACTGCTCTTTATTTGTGTCAGATCCTACAGAGGCCTCCCTCCTAGCCTTCAGCAACAGGGCAAATAAAGTTGGATCATTCTGCTGCATTTGTCTGATGTTTGTGGGTATTGAAAAACCCAGTGGCATATCTGGAGCCACTTCAACTGAAGTCTCACCCAGTGCATGTTGAAATTTCTCACGCCTTCTTTGACTGCGTGGCTTCCGAGACTTCCCAGGTTCTGTCTGCAACTCAGCCTCGAAAAAAGGTAAAGCACTAAGTGTTGCAAAATGCTCATCTTGATTTTTAGCTTGGGCTCTGGTTACAGCCACGTTACAGCTCTGCACATCCCTCAACAAGTCATAGATGACAGGCAGATCCTCCCCCAAAACTACAGGATAGGGTAGGTTATCAGCTACCCCAACCTTCAACAGATAGGGAGCTCCCTGCACCTCAACAAACATATCAGCAGTGGGGTATGATTTCTCATCACCATGTACACAGCGAACTGATATCGTTTCAGAAGGGCATATACAATTAGTTGGTACATGGTTCTTGTGCACTAGAGTCTGTGTGCTGCCAGTATCTATTAAAGCATTTATTTCATGCCCAGCAATCTTCACTGTAATGATTTTACTTGACTGCTTTATTTCAAGTTTAACATCCACATTCTGATGAGGCACAAAACACACTTGAGTTAGCTTACTTTGATTCTTAGGACACATGGGTTTGGTGTGACCTTCTTGTCCACAGAGGTAACACACTGGAGGCCTTTTTCCTGCCTTAGAAGGCTGGTTTTCTCTTAAAAAAGGCTTACCCCCACCCGTTGCTAGCTTCTGATGAGGCTGATAAGGTTGTAACCGACGTGAATCTTTGGCAGCTCTCCATGCACTGTTGCTCCATGGCTGACTCCTACTTCTGGCGGCCACAAACACGTCAGCGAGAGTAGCAGCTTCTGCAGCAGACTTCGGATTGTGCTCCTTGATCCAAACCTGAAGCTCAGGACACAACATTCTCAAAAATTGTTCCAGAATAATCAGTTCACCAATTTGTTTCACAGTTTTATCTTTAGGCTGAACCCACTTCTCATAAAGTTCTTTCAGCCTTGAATATAATTCTTTTGGACTCTCATCAAGAACATCAAGGCAGCGAAATCTTTGTCTGTAAGTTTCTGGATTTATATCATATTTTTGTAAAATGGCAGCTTTTACCTTTCCATATTCCAGGGAATCATCCACATCCATGTTAACATAGGCACAGCGAGCCTTACCCGTCAGAAGAGGAATGAGATGGAAAACCCAGTCTGATTGTGGCCAACGATAAGCAGCTGCAATTCTCTCAAACGTGGTCAGAAAGTGCTCAACATCATCTTCAGCAGTCAATTTTTCCAATTTAGGATGAGGAAGGTGCACAGACTGACCTGTTGAGCTGAAAGCTGAATCCTCAGGTTGAGATGTTGCTTGAATCTGATCAATTTGAGTTGTAACAGGTGGTGAATCAGTTGATGTGGGCTCAGGGGGCGGGGTTGTCCTGGCCTGTATTTCCATCTGCAAAAGCCGAAACTGATGTTGCAAGCTCCTAAAGCGCTGTTCTTGTTGTGCAGAAACTTCTCTCTGCTTTTTCTCCCGAACTTCCTGTTGTCCCATGAAAGCCCGAAGAATCCCAGCAATATCATGCAGAGTTGGCTCTCTGGGCTCCTCCTCATCAGTGGCTTCAGCTGCTGCTGCTGAAGCTCCTCCTTCCATTTCCTGACTCTCTGATTGCTGGGAAGCCTCTTTGGTCTCAACCTTATTTCCTTTTCTTGGGCGCAGACCGTTCTGCATGGCTCAAAAAGTTTGTTGGTGGGGGAAAAATTGCTCACACAAAAAAAAAACAGAAAAGAAAAAAAATCCTGGCTCCTCAACTCAAAATCCTCACTTCTGACACCACATGTGATGGACCGAGTTAAAAAAAACAGGAGGAGTCACAGGATATTAATTAGAAAAATAGGGTTTTTTATTTTAACCCAAAAAATAGATGACAAAAGATAAACTGATCTCATAAAAGAGGTCAAAGGAACAAAACTGAACTCAGGCAAAAATGTAAACAAACTGGCTGTACAAACAAACATAACTGACCTACAAAGAAATGACAGACAGGGGTATATATACTGGCTGATCAGACCAATTTAGACACAATAGGGGTAACTAAACAGAATACAATTACAAACAAAACAAATAACAGTACAGCTAAGTTTGACTAAACTAAAGACTCACAAAATGAAAATCAAAACCATTAAAGTCCAAATACCAATATTCACCTAAATGGAAAAACTCATCTAAAGAAAGAAACTACACATTCCCCCGCCAGCAAGGACCAGTGGTGCAGTCCAATCAGCATCCAAATTTGCTGAGCCCTGGCCCCCCATCTTTTGTCAACTTCAGAGTGTGGCCATGGATTTGGCCATCACACTGATGTTGACCTAATGTTTTCTCTTTTCTTTAACGGAAACCACAAAGCATTGGTATGGCAATGAACACAACAATTATTGGAATAAATCCCTAATTCATATTTTAGCAAAATTAGGGTTCTTGCATTATATTACTCTCTTGACGCTTCTGCATTACCCTGGTTAAAGCCAGGCATACACTACGATTTTTTCTTCCTTTTTCGGCCCATTCTCCAGTTGTGCGCACCATGAGGCCGACTTTCATCCTGATGGTGCGTGTTGTAGTGTACAGGGGGGGTAACGAGGGGCGATCAGCTTCTCACCACCACCTTCTGATCAGAAATTGTAAGGTCGGGAGAAAATCAAACATGTTTGACATTCAGTCAGCCGTTGTAAAGTGGTTGTGGGCAAATAGTTCAGTGCACAAACAAGGATTCTTCTTCTTCTTCTTCTTCTCAGATGAAACCACAGAAGCCTGGTGGGGGGGCAATGAGTGAAATGGAGTTCTTTCTGTCAAACTGACAGACCGTAGTAGCCACGTTAGCTCAGCCATGTCTTTGTCCAAATACGTTGTCTCCTTTTCTTTTTAGGGCTTTTAGCACAAAATTGCCCAAATATCCAAGGCAGCGCGTTTCACTCTAGTGAGCTTCTTATTTAACAGGAGGCAACAACACGTCTTTTTCCTCTTCTACTTCTATTTGGCTTTCGGATAGACGAGTCCGAGTTACACCATCTCACTGTGGAGCTGGTTTTTAGTCGTACAGTGTGAGCAGGTAGATCGCATCATAGTGTCGGTTCGCACAGTGTGAGAACAAACATTGTAAGCTGTGAACTTTTAAACCCTGCAGTTTCGTCGTAAAGTTTCAGCTGTAGCTGCGTGCAACAACTGAAAATATCGCACAGTGAATGCCCAGCTTTAGTGCCTGTGTCCTTATCCAATCAGAACTGTTGTTACAGTTTAAAATAGGTATTGGCATGAGTCATTGCTTTGACAGGCATCTTTTACACGACACACACAAAATGGAAGATTCAATGAAAAAATTTGCTTTGCGATCTATAAGTAAAGCATAAGCAATTCTTTTTCATTCACCTGGTAAGCTAGCTGATATTTTCTCAACTTTGCTGAGCAGGCATGCCAAAAGTCGGTCATGGAGGACCGCTGTCCTGCAGGTTGTAGAGGTTTCCTGCTCCAGCACAGCTAATTTTCATTGATAGCTCATTAACAAGCTTTTTCTGAATTGCAATCACCAGAATCAGCTGTGCTAAAGCAGGGAAGCCTTTAAAGGTAAAGTCCGGTCAGCAACGAATAACAAATGGATCATTATCTATACCTAAAACTAATTCATTTCCTGTGTTTTAATGAATTTAGAATTAATCAGTAAAAAAAATTTGTCGCGATCACTGAGTCTAGGAGCGGTCATTTCATCACGAACTTATTAGTTTTAGGTATAAATAATGATCCAATGATCATTCCTTGCTGACCGGACTTCTCCTTTAATTATATTGAGACTTTTCCCCAACTGCTGACATGATATTGGTACACAGCCTAATCCAAATTGCAGCTAAATATGATTTGGAACTGCAGCAAATGGATGTAAAAACTTCATATTTGCATGTTCCTTTTGACTGAGAATTACACTTGGAAGAGCCAGATGGATTCAAGGTCAAATCAGAAACAGGTGAAAAGCTTGTTTGTAGACTAAACACATCCCCTTATAGTCTAAAACAGTCAGGGTTGAATTGCAACCTGATTCTCTAATTCAAAATGATTCATTTTTTCAAAATCCTGCTGAGCATTGTATTTATATTAAACAAACTGGTGGAGAGAAAATATTACTGATAACCTGGGTCCTGATCTTATTATTGCAGCCAGTGATAACCAGACACTCAGATGTGTGAAAAGAATGTTAGAAGAATGATTTAAAGTGAAAGTTTTTGGGAACTTACTTTGCACCAGGAGATGGTGACATAAAAATGAACCAGAGAATTTACATTACTAAGATTTTTGAGAGGTTTGATATGATTCACTGCAAACCAAGGTCATCTCCATATATATACTGTATATAAAAAATAAAAAAAAGACTGAAATGTGACAATGACGTTGAATTTTTTGGTCCAAAGAGGTATAGAGAAGCGGTTGGAAGTTGGATCTATGTTGGTCAGGATTCTTGGTCATCCAGGTCATACTCAGTCCAAAAAAGTTAAAAATACAATCCACCACACTTTGCTTCCAATTTTAAAGACGTTTCTCTTCCCATCCAGGAATCTTTTTCAATTCAACATCTCAGGAATAGCGTACGCCCAGATTAAGCAGTGTTGTATAAAGTACTGATATCTCGGAGTCCAGTAAAAGTATAAATACCTCTCCAAAATATGACTTTGGTAAAAGTCCAAGTCACTGACTGAAATGTTTCTTGAGTAAAAGTCTTAAAGTATCTGAAATGCTTGTACTTAAGTATAAGAATTACTGTAAAAATAGATGTACTCAAGTAATGTAGTGAAAAGTATAAGTAAAAAGTAAGTGCAGTTTGAATTAAATTTTTTTAAATTTTGGTAAACTTTGAAGGTTAAATTCACTTAAAATAATATAAACAACCAAGTGTAGGATAATTGAGACTGGCTTTGCGAAAAAGGCGTATCCTATTGGTGTTGATGAACGAGCCCAGGCAAGACCCCACCTTGTAGTCAGTAGGTGGGGCCAAAACACAGCGTTTCTTTCGCTCGTTTTTTTTTTTTTACTTATTAACTTAACCAAACACTGAAAATGTAGTAAAAGTATGCAATTAAAGTTACAGTGTATAATTTTCAGCGACATCTAATGTCCAGACTGCAGACCGCAGCAACATGAACATCTCCTCCCCACCGCTTCTCCCCCCCAACAGTACGGCGAGCGTTACGGGACAAAATGTCTTCCACGACGTCCGCATCACCTACCTTCTCAAGTGATGAGGTTTGTTTACATAGATAATTTTAATACTGCCATCTATTGTTCAGTACCGTCTCAGTTCATCTCTCTCAACTTGCCGTAGTTACTTTCGAGCGTAATGGGAGATCTCGCAATCGCTAGTTTGTTGGCTCTGCACTGCCGTAGCGCAAAGATGTCAGCCTCCATGGCTGCGAGACCCGCTCCTATGTAATTATAAATAACGAATTCTAAGGCAACGCAAATATTAAGGTTAAGAGGCTGAGCTCGTAGATGATGATAAATAACATAGTTATGTATAATATATTACATTTCTGACTGTATATCCCTGTAATTTTTACACACTGTAGCTTTAAGTTTGTAAATGTAGTAAAGTAAAAGTGAAAGTTCGGAAAAAATATATACTCTTGGAAAGTATAAAGTACTCCAAAATATACTTAAGTACAGTAGTGAAGTATCTTTACTTCGTTACTATACAACACTGAGATTAAGCCTCCATTGTCAGTAATGAAGTGTCAAAATACTCGTCTGAACCAAAGTACTACAACTGGGTGGCTGTTAAGCATGCAGCACAACAGTTAAAGGGAACCATAAATAAGGAATTGTTAGAGGAGAACTGAGGGAAATTATAATCCTTTTTACTTAGTCAGTTATTCTGATTGGAGAGCAGATAAAAGCTGACATGACAACTACAATTGGTTAGTGTTTTATTTTGTCTTAAACTAGTTCTGTTATTTCTGGGAAGTCTAAAAAAACAAGCCACAGTTGATTTTTCCTCATTTGAGGCTGAGTATATGACTTTTGCAGCTACTGCGCATGAATTCCTGTATATTGTCCAGCTACTAAACAGAATGGACAGTGAATGTGAAATTACACTAATACCCATTTATGAGGACAACAGGACTGCTGACTTTTCACCAAACCATGGGGTGAGATTTTGAAATAGTTTGGACAGGAAACCCTGTCAGGTTTAGATGAGGACAGGTGCAGCTATAGGTTGGAGGTTTTCAGAGGATTTAACTTTAACAAAGCGGCAAAATTTGAAATTCTTATAGCGCAGTAAATATTACTGAGTAACAATAAGTGGTCTGTAGTTATGTGGAACATTTTCTCACAATATACATTATTTTATACATTGTGATTTGGTTTTTAAGGAATTGAAGTAAAGCAGAATGGGCCCTACTAAAATACTTGGATCTTTAAACTAAGAATTTCACAACTTTGTTCATTAACTATTATCTGCAGTTCAAGTAAATTAAACAATGGGGAACTAATAAACTATTACTCGCACTGATACAGGAACCAGCACAAGCGAAACCTATGCAAACTACACTGTATGAATATTTGGTAATAGGCTAAGATTTAAAAAGCTTCATTATGTTATTACTACATCTTACAATTGACAAAACAGCTAAACAATTCAGGTTTTTCTAGGAGGCTGTAGAGTCTGTAAAAACTCACCATGACAGGAG